TAAATCCATGTCTTTTACGTAATGGACGAATCAAGTTTAGAAACATTTACAGTTTAGCTTGTTAATCTGGTGCTGTTGACCTGCAAGAGAATCTACTTTTGCATATACAGGTGAAAGTTTTACAATTTATGTATAAAGAAATTGTAGGCATTAAAAAATATTTTATTGGTATTTTCCCTGGTTTGCACTTATTGACCAAAACCCATATTCCTTATGTCATCACCCTGCACATTTTCCCAGCTAGAACCCCCAGCAGACTCATCACGCTTCAGAGATGGGGTTTGCCCCTCACACACTTGCCTCTGTTCATTTGCCCGTAGGCACTCGCGTCTGCCCAGTTCCCACCACTGACACTTGTCTCCCCACCAGCTTACAGGAGACACCCAGGTTAGGAGATTGTTTGGAGGTATACTCTGAACTGGAGGGAAGACGACGGGGTGTACATTTCTTATGAAGAAAAGCAGGTTCTGATCCCCTGTAATAAAAACAGCCTAAGATGGCTGAGAAGATGAGTCCTTAGGAATATATTAAGAAAGTAAGCCCTCTTGACTGAAAATTACAGCTCACCATATAGGAGGCAAGTGGGCATGGTCATGCAGCCAGAGGATGCAGGCACTTAATGAAATATGTTGAGACTAGGTCAAATACAAGAGATGCTAGTATCCTAGACCGAGAAATTACAGTTTTGCATATGGATTTTGAATTCACATTTCCATAAAAAATAAAAAGGGTAATCCATTCAGTGCATAGAGCCACTTGGAAATAGTTTAGCAAAACTACCAAATAGTCATTAACAACATGTGTCCATAACCAAAAGGTCTGCTGGCAAGGGTGCATTTCTGGACATGAAACTATCAGTAACCCCCAAGCAGCCACAGAGTGGGGACAATTTCATACAGCTTCTTTAAGTACTGTATTTACTCCCATTAAGAGTTGTCCCTCACTCTCCTCTTCCCCTTTAAGGTCAGAAAGCTCTAAGCCAGGGGTCCCCAACCTACCCCCTCCTAGTCCACGAAATGGCTCACATTACCATTCCCCCTGAGCTCCTCCTCTTGTCTCCCAACCCCCTCCCCGGCCTGACCTCTGCCCCGTGTCTCCCCTCCACCCAGCACCCTGGGCCATGGAAAAATTGTCTTCCACAAAACCCATCTCTGGTGCCAAAAAGGTTGGGGGACCGCTGCTCTAAACCACTAGAGGGCTTATTAGGAATAACCCAGGGCTCACCCAAATTAGTTGCATATATCTTATACTTACGTTCCATCCTTGGTCTCATAAACTCAAACTGCATCATAATGAGGACTCAGCAGTTGGCTTTCGTTTCTACACATGCTGCCTGTATTAGCAGCAGTCAGTGCTAAAAGAATCAGGCAACTTCTTGGCTATACAGGTGAGGGAGATATTTGAACCAAGAGACAGCCAAGATCTTAGATATCCCAGCCTCTTGGTTGGCCCTTTTCCTTGGCACATAAAATCATGCCAAGGAGTCCTGGCTGGTGTTGCTCAGTGGATTGAGTGCTTGCCTGCAAACCAAAGGGTCACCAGTTTGGTTCCCAGTCAGGGCACACATCTGGGTTGTGGGCCAGGTCCCCGGTAGGGGGTGAATGAGGCAACCACACATTGATGTTTCCCTCTCTTTCTCCCTCCCTTCTCTCTAAAAAAAAATTAAATTTAATTTAAAAATATATAATCTTTTTAAAAAAGATTTTATTTATTTATTTTTAGAGAGGAAAGGGAAGGAGAAAGAGAGAAACATCAATGTGTAGTTGCTGGGGGTCATGGCCTGCAACCCAGGCATGTACCCTGACTGGGAATCAAACCTGCGACACTTTGGTTCACAGCCCACGCTCAATCCACTGAGCTACTCCAGCCAGGGCCTATATATATAATCTTTAAAAAAAAAAAAAAAAAGCAGCATGCCAAGAAGGCCTGGATCTTAATCTTAACTGCAACTCAGAGCTGTGTGGGTTGGTAAGTTAACACTGGCAACTTCATTTTAGCCATTTTGTAAAACGAGTCTACAACCCAGCTTAGGTTATTGTGAGGTTTAAAATAATACAGAATTTAGTGTCTAGCACCCAATATAAAAATGAGGCCTTTCCCCCACATGGTATAAGCTTTGGGTTCTTAATAGTAGCTGTGGGAAGGCCACAGAGAAATACCCCAAAGAATAGGCTTAAAGTTACTCCAATGTTTAACATTTTTTCAACCCTGGATCCAGGAGAAAGACATTATTTGGGAAATAGGTCTAAAGAGATCTTGAGAATTTCTATCCTTGAGGATACAGAATAGAGGACAAGTTGAACTTGGTATCTTAGTCTTAACACCAGTTTTAGGGACTCTGAAACAAAGGGGACTCAATCATTCCCATCCACCCGCACTCCCTCCCCACCCTCCACGTCCCTGTTCCCAGCTCACAGAATACCAAGTCTTCATCTTAAAAAGGTGCGGTAACTTTTTACATTAAATGTGACAAAAATAATGTGCAATCACTTTATGCGAAACCAACAACAGGAGCTGTACAGCTTGGTCAGGTGAGCTTCAGAGCTGCATTACTTCACCAGGATCATCTTTACTTATTTCCACCGGGGTCTGAAGGGGAAAAAGTATGTCGGGTGGGTCACACTTAGTGTTTGCTAGGTGTGGGCTAAGAGTATTGCCCTCCTTACCAAGAGCAGGCAGGGGTAGCTGTGTCCAATTCTGTCACCTAATGCCTCTGACCTCAGTTGCCAGAGGGGCTTAAGTAGTAGGGGAGCTGACAAGAGGCAGAGGAAGGACACATATACAAAGTCCAACAGGAGGAGAGAAGACAGAGACATGTGCCGCCCGAACCAATATAGACCAGCGTTTACTTGAGGGAGAGTTAAGTGTGGGTTGCTGGTGTGGGCTGAGCTAAGCAGTGGTGGTGAACACTGAGCACATGGAATGTCCAAGAGAACAGACTAAGTCATCCATGTCAGACAGCTTTGACCTGGGGCCTGAGAAATCTTTTTAACTCTACCCTTCCTGTTTATTTGAAACTAAAAAAGAACAGAGACTCTTAGGAAAATATACATAAAAGATCACATGAAAGACTGAGGTAACTCTCCCAGCTTAAGAAAGTAATATTAATAGAAGTAGGTAAGCTACATAGCTTTGTTAACAAAGAAAAGGGCATTTGTTTCTAAAGTGACTACAGTTGGATTTCGATGCTTAGTTCATTATCTTGGGGAATACATTTCAAATTCAGAATAGAGAACAAAGCTTACGGCACACTTACCCCTCCTGGGGGATACTTATACCCCTTCCACATAGTTCCTGCAATGAGAAGCATCCATAAGACAACAATCATTACGGGCTCCGGCTCAGTGGGCGGTGCGAGCAGGGGGAAGCGGGTGGTTCTGAAAGGTGTGTTCTGTTCCCTGAATGCTGGGAACTGGGCTGTCTTCATTCAAAGCCTGATGGTGGATGACCCAGCATGATAGCTCCTGGCTGAAGGGCTGTGTGGTCTAGTCTGAACTGAAGTGGCTTGCCATGGCCATTTTGGGGGGCAGAGCTCAGCTACCAATTGTGACATCAGCTCCTGTGACCTTGAGGGCCAGTCAGAGGGAGTAGCTGTGGGTGGTTGCCCAGGATGCCAGGTGTGTTGGAGTTAAGGAGCCCTTACCAGAAGGGCCCTGTTCTCTGGGGCTCTGTGGTTGGGATCCTGCTGGCACCAGATCTTTATTAACTCATCACCTGTCAAAATTCTGACTAGTGGCTTTATGCAATCAAATGCAAAAAGAAAAATTTCTACGTAAAACACAAAACAAAAAAATACCCTGGATTAATTGGAGGGATTAAGAGGCTAGGTATGCTATGAGCAATTATTTTATATTAACAACTTTATCAGTCGTGAGACTATTCAAAGAAAAACCTTGCATTTCGCAAAATAGCACAACTAAACTTTTATGCAAGGTAAGCCTCCTCACAACTTCCCTCACAAGGGAAGAGAAGGGAGGTGGGCTGTTATGCCCATTTCACAGCTCGAGAAAAGGAACCACAGGATAGATTCAGTGGTTTGGTCAGGAACGCGGCAGTGGCTCAGTGAAACAAGAACCCTGGACTTCATCACATCCCCGCCCCTCCAGAGGTCTGACTGCATGGTGCCAATCATCTCTCATAGGAATTCTGAGGCAGATGAAGAAGGAAAAAAAAAAAAAAAGGAACCACCATTGTGCCTTGTTCTTAGCATATGTGGGGCTGGGTTCTTAGCATATGTGGGGCTGGGGCTTAGCATATGTGGGCTACCCATGCCTTCCAGAGTAGCTTCCCAGAAAACCTGTTCCTGTAGTCAGTACATTACTAAGACTCAGAGCTAGGTTTCTCTAACTGTGGGACACCTTTGAAAAAAGAGGTCTGAATGAAACGGGGTGGGATATGAGAAACCAGAGGGGATAGTTTGCCAATAGGACACTGTTATTAATATTCGTTACAGGCAAGCTGGGCTAGTGGGATGAATGTGAGAGGCTATTCAGTTCATAGATCTACGGCTTACATCCCAGCTTCACAAACCAGTTGGTCTGTGTGGTCTTGGATAAACAATTGAGGTTGTTGCCAAAGTAAATCTTTGTTGACTGGTTCACGATTTTGCTTAGTTGTTAAGTTAGCACATACCAAATGCTAAGTTTTGCATTAAATAAATGCTTTACATGAATTCCCAAATGTAATCCTCACAAAAAAAAGTAAGATACTGAGATAACTCCACTATACCGATGAAGAAACTGAACTTCATAAAGATTAAACTCACCCATCAGATAGCTAGTAAATTGCAAAGTCAGGACTTGAACCCAAATGCACGATAACTGTCCTCAGAAGTGCTCCCCACATTCTCTTTCCAATCATTTCCATTTCATCTATTTCTAATCATTTCCCCTTCTAGAGCTTATTATATTTTCCAAAGGAATATAAACTCTCCGTTGGGATTTCAGGGTTCTCCCAAGTCCTCAGGAAAGGGAGGGAAGCAGCCCAACAGACCTGATCACTCACAGTTGTAGATCTTCATCCAAAGGCTGGCTGCTCCGTCGAGCCTTGCCCTCTTTAACAGGCCACCTGTCTTTCCACCTCAGAGTTGGAGGCTGAGTCAGAAAGACATGTAAAGGCAGACATGGCTTTACTCGTTGGCCCAGTAGGCAACCGCCCCTGTATGGGACTGAAAGGACTGCTGAAAAGTCCACCCTCCAAGGCCCACCTTCCCTCTCTTGATCCGCAACCATTGACCCACTGGGCCTGAAATCCAGAAGTCAAGCACAACTCCAACAGATCCCTTATAAATTCCATAATGCTTTGAAATAAGTAATGTTATATAAATCTAGGGGGAGGGGGACTTAAAGATGTCCAAATGGGATGGGAAGTGGCCTAGGAAACTAACTTTGTTTCCTGACCTCTCATTAGTGGTGAACCTCAATTGTCTTTCCCACTTGCTCAGAAACCCCAGCTGGGAGGGTCAGCCTGAGCCAGGACTGATTACCATGAATTTACATGCAGGGTCATTACTTACCATGAACTCCGGAAATGTGCCCATGTAACATGCAAAGCCAACAAAAAGCATCCAGCCGAGCACAATCATGATAAAACAATTTTAAAGACACAATTGCAGAGTGAAAGACTCTTCACCAAGATCTTGGTAAAGGAGTATGCTCATGAAACCCTCAGGTGGCAGAGCTCTCAAAAGTAAGTTCCAGTCCTTGGCTCCAAGGGATCTGCAACTCCCTAGTGGAGAGGTTGGAGTCTAGTAGGGCATTGTGACATCATTGATCACATGACCCATGTTCACACCAAATCAGATCACGTTAATTCTTCTGTTCAAAATCCTCCAGACTTCTGGCCAAGATGGAGGCACACTGTGCCTCCTCGCATAACCAAGATAGGGATGACAACAACAATTTAGAAACAGAATAACAACCAGAACTGATAGAAAATTGTACTGTATGGAAGTTGGACAACTATGGAGTTAAAATAGACACATTCATCCAGACCGGTAGGAGGGGCAGAGTCGGGCAGCTGGGCTTGGGTCACCGCACAGAGGGTAGAGAGCATGGGGACCGGGCACATAAGGCATCTGGGGCATGCAAGACCGCAGCAGGCGGACCCTGGGCGTGCCAGCGGCAGCTGACAGACCCCGGCCGAGGGGTGGCAACCGGCAGACCCAGTGAGGCAGCGATTGTGAAGCAAGGCACTGCATGCAACCCAGGATCCCAGCGCCAGGAAATAGAGCCTTGGGGCACTGATTGAAAACACCTGTGGGGGTTGAGGTGCAGGGAGAGACTCCCAGCCTCACAGGAGAGGTCGTTGGAAAGTCCTACAGGGTGCACAAGCCCACTGACATGGGAATTGGCACCAGAGGGGCCCAGTTTGCTCGGGGGAAGCAATGGAAGGGACTGAGGTCCAACGAAGAGCGGAGCAAAGGCCATTGTTCTCTCTCGGGTCCTGCCCTCTCATACAGCGTCACAACCCAGTGACTGGGGTGCCCCGCCCTGGTGACCACCTAAGGTTCTGTCCCTCATACATAACAGGCGCAACAAAGACAAAAAAAAAAAAAAAAAGATGGCTCAAACAGAAGAACAAATGAAAGCCCCAGAACTTTTAAGCAACCGAGAGATAGCCAACGTACCAGATGCACAGTTCAAAGCACTGGTGATTAGGATGTTCACAGAATTGGTTGATTTTGGTCACAAATTAGATGAAAAAATGAAGGCTACAATAAGTGAAATGAAGAAAAATGCACAGGGAACCAATAGTGATGGAATGAAAGCTGGGTCTCACATCAATGGAGTGGACCAGAAGGAAGAAAAAAACATACAATCAGAAAAGAATGAAGAAATATAAGAATTTAAAAAAATGACATCTTGAAACATTCCAACATTCAAATTATAGGGGTACCAGAAGGGGAAGAGGAAGAGCAACAAGTGGAAAACTTATTTGAACAAATAATAAAGGAGAACTTCCCCATTCTGGCAAAGGATATAGACTTCCAGGAAGTCCAGGAAGCTCAGAGAGTCCCAAAGAAGTTGGACCCAAGGAGGAACACACCAAGGCACATCATAATTACATTAGCCAAGGTAAAAATAAAGGAGAGAATCCTAGAAGCAGCAAGAGATAAGGAGACAATCACCTACAAAGGAATTCCCATCAGACTGTCTGCTGATTTCTCCAAAGAGACCTTACAGGCAAGAAGGGGATGGAAAGAAGTGTTCCAAATCATGAAAGGCAAGGACCTATATCCCAGATTGCTCTATCCAGCAAAGGTTTCATTTAGAATGGAAGGGCAGATAAAGTGCTTCTCAGATAAGGTCAAGTTAAAGGAGTTCATCATCACCAAGCCCCTATTTTATGAAATGTTAAAGGGACTTATCTAAGAAAAAGAAGATAAAAAACATGTATAGTAAAACTACAGAAAACTCAATTATTAACAACCACACCTAAAAATAAAAACCAAAAGAAACCAAGCAAACAACTAGAACAGGAACAGAACCACAGAAATGGAGATCACATGGAGGGTTAGCAACAGGGGAGTGGGAGGAGGAGAGAGGGGGAAAAGGTACAGAGTATAAGTAGCATAGAATGTAGGTTGAAAATAGACAGGGAGAGGGCAAGAATAGTATGGAAAATGTAGAAGCTAAAGAAGTTAAGACACATGGACATGAACTAAAGGGGGGGAATGTGGGTGGGAGGGTGTGTATAGGGTGGAGGGGAATAAAGGGAGAGTTATGGGACAACTGTAATAGCATAATCAATAAAATATATTGTTTAAAACAACCCTCCAATAGCTTCCTCTTTCCAAGTAAAAGCCTAACAAAGAAAAAAGCAGCCCCTGACATTGGAACTGGTCTGACCCAGCCAGGTCTCAGTGTTGTTGGCTGACCTGGCACTCACAACTAGGCTACACGATTCTCCTGTGGGTGTAACAATCTCACTGAAAACCAATATCAGATGGGTCGTTCAGACCATGATAAAATGAGATAAAACAAGTTCACTTTATAATTTTGTCTAAGCAGGCAAAAATAAGGTCACTGTACAGATCATAAAATAGCAAACATCCTCTTTTCTCTGCTAATGTGCATGACTGCTTCTTCTTTACTAATCACCACTCTGACATCACTCTAGTTTGCCCTTCTTATAGCTGTAGAGATACCCAATCATAGAATTATCCTTTCTGACAGCACCCAACCCAGAGGGAAGCTTTGCTTCCTTAAATCCTCCCCCAAGTCACCCAAAGCCCAAATCCTGTTATAATAGGTTCAACACTCTTACTGAGCTATCTCAATGCTTGTCTACAGTATCTATTCCCTCCCTACAAGGAGTAGTCATCTCAGCTTGTTCAAGTGTGAGTGTGTGTCTGCTGGTCTCTGGCTGAAGGGCATAGACAAGCCAGTCACAACTGTCTATGCACACAGTGGTTCTCAGACTTTATCACACATTAGATTTGCCCAGGCTTCTTAAAACAGAGTGCTAGACCCTACCCCCAGAGTTTGTTTTTGTACATCTGAGGTGGGGTCTCAGAATCTGTATTTTTTAACAAGTTCCAGGTGCTGCTGAGGCTGTAAGTCTGGGGACTGCAGTGGAAGAATCACTGCCTTAAACCATCTGTAGCTCCCTCTTATTTCCTGATTTAGGCTTCTTCTGCTTCCTTACCTCTTACTTCATTCTATTCCAGCTACACTGGCCTCGCAGTTTCAAACATCCCTACGCTCATGCCTGTCTTAGGACTTAGGAATTTGCCTGGAATGTCCTCTATGTACAAGAAATGCTTACTGTTTCACCTCAAGGGAATCTACCCTGATCTCCTTACCCTGTCTTTAAAAAATCTATTCCCATAACACTTAATTACCTTCTAACATGGAGTCTAATTTACTGATTTATTATACTTATTGTTTTCTCTCTTCTTACTAATGAAAGAATGACAGCCTTAGGACAGCTGACATTTTTGCTTATTTTGTTCACTTCTGTATCATCAGACCTAGAAAAATATCTAGCAACGTGTCAATGTTCAACATAAGTTTGCTAAATGAATAAACGCTCCGTCCAGCCTTTCACTTTCTTCTCCTAATTGAGCCAGACTAACAGATCCTGACTTTGGGTCTTCCTAATGATACAGTCACCCTACCACCTCCCCATCCTCCTGACAGTTAAAGTATCCAGCTCCTGCGAGTTTTTAGGCCCAATGGTTCAAGTCAAGAATACAAAGCAGGTAACTCACAAGTCAAGGAGACCAAATAAAGCCACCATATTGCATATCTTCACCTGCCTTCTCTAAATGACCATATCCACCAATCTACCGCCTCTCGTTTTCAGAGTCTTTTTCTCACTTGGCTTTTTACCCTCTCTACCACCAACAAGCTTGTGACACTACCTCCCATCTTAAAGAAAAAAAAAAAAGCAATCCCTCTCCCGATGCTGCATCATCCTCCCAACGCTGTCCCTATCTCCCATTTCTCCGACAATCCTCTTGCCGGCTCGGTTTTCCTTTTCTGGCTCCCTGAAATTTTGGGTTTGAAGTTTCATTACCTCTTTCTTCCTAAATCCAACTACAATATTCGGTCTTGATCCTTCTTGATACTCTGCTGAACGTAACACATCCTTCTTGAAACTCTCTTCCAGAACAGTGCGAGGTGCTTCCACCTCCTTTACTGCTTCTCTTCAGGTCCTTTCAATTCCCCTCTCCACAGATGTCTCCCAAGTTTCTTTCCAGCAAGCTGGAGCGTAGTTCCCTACGCGCTAGCGCGTTTCTGATGGTGCTCTGGGTTCACGCTGCCTGCAGAGAGCCGCCGCTGAGTCTGGGGAGTTGAACCCGAGTTGACACAGGAGTCTGAGAAAGGGCGGAGCCTGGAAGCTCTCGGGAGGTTTGGTCCTCAGCGGCCGCCGTCTAGGAGCCGGTGTGAGAGAAGGTCTAGGAGCTGGGGTCGTGGAACCTGACGCTCGAACCCCACCCCGCTGGAGATGGAATTCGACTGCGAAGGTCTGAGACGGCTGCTTTGCAAGGTGCGGCAGCCCGCCAAGTCGGGTCTGGGGACCCGGGGTCTCCGGAGCGTGGCCACCTAGTCGGGCTGCCTCCTCGGGGCGTATTCCCATTTGGAGCGAAGGGGTGTTGGCCTGAAGGTGGCTGCAGATAAGCGCTCTGGGGAAGCCACTGGCCTCTCTCTCTCGAGTTCGGGGCTCTGGCTCCACTCGAAACTCCGAGGTCCCCCAACCACTAGTAACTCCGAGGTCCAGTCTCCACCCGGTGTGAGAACTTCCTTTGCCTCCAGCTTCTCTTGGTCTCCAATAGTTCCCAGCACTCCCCGTCCCTTTAACCACTCCCTTTTCTCTCTGCTAAAATGGCCTGCCCCATTTTTTTTTCACTTGCAGTGCTCAGCCTGTGTATGATCTCAACTCAGATGTCACTCCCTAGAAGATAGAATCACTCACTCTCATCCCTCTCCTTGCTTTCAGAAATATCGATTGTCACATTATGGAGTAATTATTGATTTACTCATTATTACCTTACTCATGCTTCTGAGCTAGTTGGCGCCCAACACGGTGCTTCACCTAGCTCTAGGCCTGTCAAAAAGGGAGGTGCTAAATAACTGCAATGAATGAGAAGACCTGAGAGATGAAGGCAGGGCTTGAAAGAGGTCCACATAATGTTGAACGGTTAAGTGGGAGGGCTGACCCAGAAGTCTGACCTATGTTTCTGGGGCTTGACTATCGCCAGTTTCCGGGTCAGTCCTGGCTCTCTGATTCCACACCAGTGTATTGTCTGAGGCATCCACCCTTTTCACCAGTTTTCTAGTTAAGTGATTCTTATGTTTCTTAAGACTTCCCTCATGTGAAAACCATCCCTTTGTGCCTTTTTGTTGTTGTTGTTGTTGGATTTGCCGGTGTCTTTATTAGTTGGGGCAGGTTGTACTCCTGTGCGAGATTTTAAGCCTTGTGAATGAAATTGTTTTTATATATATATATATATATATATATATATATATATATATATGCGATTTGAATGATTTTATCTACTGCAAAAGGTATAGATCTTGTAAAAATGGCAGTCATCATGCTTAGAGTTACACGCTTTCTATTTTCTCTTCAAACATGAAATTAAAAAAAAACAACACTCTACCAAGTTTTTAAATGAGAGAACACAACGTATTGTCCAGTATTGGCAAGAATTGTTCAGATTGATGGTAGAAAAATAACTGAATTTTGGTGGACCTGGAATGAAGGAAAAAGACAAAAGAGTGATTTTTCTCAAAGGTGGGAATAGACTTATAGAGGTATTCTTTTTTTTTTATCATCAGTGTCTGGCATGTAGGCACTTAATATTTGCTGGATGTGTAAATTAAAGAAACCAGTTAGAAACAAATCAGTCTTGCCAATATTTCTGAAGTTCCTTAGCCCTTGTACTAGGCAAATAATATAGTAATTTAATATCTAGAAACAACTGTAGTGCCGAAAAATCTATGTACAATACATTAAAATCAAGCAACTGTATGGAGAATGTGAAAATTTTTACTGAAAACAAATAAAACATATTAAATATTTCAACCTAAGTAAGTATTCCAACTTCATGTATACGAAGAAGTCAGTTTTCTCCAAATTGACCTTTAGAGTCAATATAATTCCAATAAAAATTCTAAGAGGTTATTTTGGGAACTTTTCAAGCTGGTTCTAAAATTCATTTGGAAGAATAGAAGGCCAAAATTCTTGACATTCTTATAGAAGAGTAGGTGTGGGAACTTGCTCTACCAGATGCCAAGACTGGTAATTAAGATTTAGTGTGCTGTTGGTGTAGGACAGATAAGTGAACCAGTGAAACAAGAGAGAAGACTTAGAACCATATCCACACATATTTGGAACTGCAATACGAAACACAAGACGTGCTGCAGATAACTACAGCAAGGAGGATACAGAGACAAATAATTATTCATATGGGAAAAAATAAAAGTAGATTCTGATGTTTTACCAAGCTTAAAAATTTTCTTGTATTAAAGATTTAAATTATAAATGACAAGCTTTAAAACATATAGAGGTAAATGTAGGGAAGAATCTGTGAATTCAGAGTATACAGACATTTTAAAAAATAAGACATAAAATACTCAGAGTGATAAATTTGACTGCATTCAAATTAAGAACTTCTAGATATCAAAAGACAGCATGAAGAGAGTGAAGGGTCAAAATACAACCTTAGGGAAGAATTTTGTAATATATAACTGACAAAGTATTGATATCCAGAATATATAAACCAGCATGCTTACAATTCAATAAAATGAATAGAAAATTAGACAGAAGCCATGAATAACCATTTTTTTTTAATTAAAAAAACAGGGAAATGAATGTTTGTTCAATCTGTTGGAACCTGGAGAAGCAAATTAAGGCCATGGTAAAACACCATTTTCCCTTACTAGGCTGGCACAAATTAAGATAATTTCAAATGATTTGGAGGATGTGGATGAATTGGAATTTTCAGCACTGCTGGTGGTTAAATGGTTATTTAACCATTTTAGGATAGTTTGGCCCTATTTTATTGATTTGATCATGCGTGTTTTATGTCCCATTTACCTCTGGGTAGATACCAGAGAGAATTCAGAATACATGAAGCAAGAGATATTTGTAGAAGTTATTTATAGCTAAAAATTAGAAACACCCCAATTGTGCAGTGACAGAAAGGAAGGATAATTTGTTGAATATTCACACATGGAAAACATGTGTATATACAACATTCACACACGCGGCAGTGGAAATGAATGAGCTACCATGGGCAACAATGCCAATGAATCTTAGAATATTATTTTGAGTGAAAAAAATCAGGTTATATACAAATTATATTTTGATAAACTCAAGAAACAAAACTAAACAAAAATTAAACAACGAACTATGTTGCTTAGGGTTCTGTAGGTGATAAAACTGCGGAGGGCAAAAGCCAAGGGGTGTGAACACACGATTCAGTTCAAGGGAGGCGGCGGGAAGGGGCCGAAGAGGAGCGCTGAGACGGCTGCAACTTCAACGGAAAGGTCTGGGCGGTGCCATGCCGTAGCCTCTAGCCGCTGCGGCTACTGAATCCTTAAAATTAGATAAAATTAAAAATTTAGTTTGAGTCACACGTGCCACATTTCAAGAGTCAGTAGCCACTTGTGCAGGTGGCTGTTGTATTGGACAGCACACAGAGATCTTTTCCATTATGGCAGCAACTTTCGTTAGTGCTGTTCTAGATTATCTGCGGGTGGGTCGGTGCGTGGGTGTTTATTATTCTTCAAATGTGTGTGTGTGTCAGTATGTGTATATTTGTATATACTATTTAGTTTGTATTAAATATTAAGTTTTAAAAAATTATCTGATTCCTGGACTTCCGGCCAAGATGGAGGCATAGGTAGACATACAGTGTCTCCTTGTACAACCAAAAGAAGGACAACAACAAATTTAAAAACAAAAACCCCCCAGAACTGACAGCAAATCAAACTGTATGGAAGCCAGACAACCAAGGATTTAAAGAAGAAATATTCATCCAGACCTGTAGGACAGGTGGAGAGGACTCTAGGCCAGGTGGTAGCTGAAGGACCGGGGTGGAAGAGGTAACAGCTGGTGGAGCAGGCGGTCCCACATTTGCATGCAGGTAAACCAGGAGGAACAACTGGGAATGAGACAGGCCGCGCAACCCAGGGTTTCAGTACCGGGAAATAAAGCCTCAAAGCTTCTGACTGAAAACACCTGTGGGGGTTGAGGTTGCAGGGGGAGAAACCCCCAGCCTCACAGGAGAGTTCTTTGGAGAGACACACCCACCCAGAAATCAGCACCGGAAGAGCTCAGTTTGCTTGTGGGGAGCAGGGGAAGTGGCTGACATCGGGCAGAGAGCCGAGCAAGCGCAATTGTTCCCTCTCAGACCCCTCCCCACATACAGTGTCACAATGTTGCGATGTGGGTTGCCCCACCCTGGGGAAACCTAAGGCTTCACCCCTTACTACACAACAGGCACGCTGAGACAAGAAATGGCCCAAATGAAAGAAAAGATCAAAGCTCCAGAAAAAATGCAACTAGGTGACGAAGAGATAGCCAACCTATCAGATGCACAGTTCAAGACACTGGTAATCAGGATGCACACAGACTTAGCTGAATATGGTCACAAATTAGATGAAAAAAATGAAGGCTATGCTAAGTGAAATAAAGAAAATGTATAGGGAACCAACAGTGACGGGAAGAAAACTGGGACTCATATCAACGGTATAGACCAGAAGGAAGAAAGAAATATTCAACCAGAACAGAATGAGGAAACAAGAATTCAAAAAAAATGAGGAGAGGCTTAGGAACCTCCAGGGCATCTTGAAACGTTCCAACATCCAAATTATAGGCATACCAGAAGGAGAAGAGGAAGAGCAACAAGTCAAAAACTTATTTGATCAAATAATGAAGGAGAACTTCCCCAATCTGGCAAAGGAAATAGACTTCCAGGAAGTCCAGGAAGCTCAGAGAGTCCCAAAGAAGTTGGACCCAAGGAGGAACACACCAAGGCACATCATAATTACGTTAGCTAATGTAATTAGTTTAGAAGATTAAAGGTAAGGAGAGAATTTTAAAAGCAGCAAGAGAAAAGGAAACAGTAACCCCCAAAGGAGTGCCCATAAGACTGTCAGCTGATTTCTCAAAGGAACCTTGCAGGCAAGAAGGGACTGGAAAGAAGTATTCAAAGTCATGAAAGGCAACGACCTGCATCCAAGATTACTCTATCCAGCAAAGCTTTCATTTAGAATGGAAGGGCAGATAAAGTGCTTCTCAGATAAGGTCAAGTTCAAGGAGTTCATCATCACGAAACCCTTATATGAAATGTTAAAAGGACTTATCTAAAAAACAAGATAAAAAATATGTATAGTAAAATGACAGCAAACTCACAATCATTAACAACCAAACCTAAAACAAAAAGAAACTAAGCAAACAACTGGAACAGGAACAGAACCACAGAAATGGAGATCACATGGAGGGTTATCAGTGGTGGGGTGGGATGGGAAGAGAGAGGGAAAAGGTACAGAGAATAAGTAGCATAAATGGTAGGTAGAAAATAGACAGGGAGAGGTTAAGAATAGTATGGGAAATGTAGAGGCCAAAGAACTTACATATGACCCATGAACATGAACTAAAGAGAATACAGGTGGGAGAGGGTGTGCAAGGTAGAGGGAAATAAAGGGAAAATGGAACAACTGTAATAGCATAATCAATAAAATATATTTTAAAAGTTTATCTGGTTCCCTAATTCCTATTTTCTGCTCCCCTGGCTGTTACCTTGGACAAGTAACCTAGATTTGCTCGCTCATAATATGGTAAGATTGGGCTTGATCTGGAAGATTACTTTCTGCTAAATATTTTTTATGAAATGATGCCACAAAGTATTCCTCAATGTTCCCTGTATTTGAACAAGGTCATAAGAGTATTCTTGATACTCATAAATATCAGATTACTAAATAAACATACTGTAGTATATCAGATACAGTAAAGATTTTAGTAATATCAATTTTTCAGTCTTATTAATTTTTATGACAATGTAATTGCTTTAGTTTTAGAATCTTGTGGGCCATTTCGTCTCTTTAGTGACAATGCCTGCAGTTTTTAAGTGTATGACATTATCTGAGGCACATTTCCTTAGAGAATATTATATAGATTTCTCTTAGGTGATACAGGAGGAATAATGGAATATGTCTTAATATTACACTAAGAAGCTATCTCTGTTTCATATAGTAAAAATGACCTGAATATTTTTTAAGGACATAAAATAGACCTTTTCTTCTGTGGATGTCAAAAAGACAAATTACATATTTAACTTGTCATAGTGACTTGGGTTTTCAAGTCTTAAAGAAGAGCTTTTGCCCTCTTTGGCCAAACTTTTATAGCAGTTTTATAATTCATTCAATACTGGTGTATAGTTATCTCTTTAGCTATTTTTTAAAAGATTTTGTTTGTTTGTTTGTTTGTTTAGAGAGAGGGGAAGGGAGGGAGAAAGAGAGGGAGAGAAACATCAGTGTGTGGTTGCCTCTTGCATACCCCCTACTGGGGACCTGGCCAACAACCCAGGCAGGTGCCCTAGACTGGGAATCAAACCAGCAACCCTTTGGTTCGAAGATCAGCACTCAATCCACTGGGCCACAGCAGCCAGGGCTCTTTAGCTATTAATAACATTTTCACCAGATGTTGAAGACGTAGAAAACAGCTTATAATATTAAGTAGAAAACAAAACAAAAATTGCTTTTTAAAAAAATAAATGTACATTCCAGGTGACAACAAAGCAGCCTTTTGTACATCTGTGTAGTATTTGGAGTTGGGATAATTTCATTCACCTTGTTTATCCTGAATCAGGGACACTGAATCCAGGGCTCATTTCACTCTGCTGTAGTTAATACTAATCAGTTCTTAGTTTTGACGCTCAGTCCTGTGGATCACAATTGCCTTCTCTATCCACTGTACTCATGCCAACCTGCCTCTTTGTTAACTCCCATCAATCAGCCTACCTTTATTAAAGGTATACCCTGTGCTACCATGCTGTGGGGAGATACAGAGATGAAGAGATGATTTCTGTCCTCAAATGGTTAATAATCATAGGCTTTTCCTTGTGCCAAATTCTTTCCCATCTTAAAGTGACCTTACAGGAAGAGAAGTATCTTCCCTGTAATTTTCTGTAGCATTCTAGACTCGAAGGTGAATTGTAGATAGCTTTCCCCAGAGGCCTTCTTGTAACTTAGATATGCTTTCTGTTGTGGCATCGTTTCTGATATGTATACTTCTTTGTATACATATTTTGTTTAATACCTCACTTTTACATATGTTAATCATGAGGAGCTCTCTCTCTTTTGCAGATAAAAAAAATCTGAGGCTCAGAGAGAGGAAACAAGATCTGTTAGCAGTCATTCCCCATTCTCTCCCAGTCTCTGCCAGCCCTGAGCACCCACTAATGTACTCTCTGTTTCTATGGATTTGCCTGTTCGGGGTATTTCATGTAAACCATACAACGTGCGGCCTTTTGTGTCTGGTTTCTTTTACTTAGCGTGTTTTTAAGGTCCATCCATGGGGTAGTATGTATCAATCAGTTCTTTATTTTTATGACTAAATATTCCATTTTATGGATATATCACATTTTATCCATTCATCAGTTGCTAGGCATTTGGATTATTTTCACTTTTTGGCTGTATGAATAATGCTACTATGAACAGTTGTACACAAGTCTTCGTGTGGGCTTCGTGTTTTCATTTTTCTTGGGTATATACCTCGGAGTGAAGTTGCTGGGGTGAATAGTAACTCTGTGTTTAATCTTTTCAGTAAATGCAGACTGTTTTCCAAAGCAGCTGCACCGTTTTACCACAGGCAGTGGTGTATGTATGTGAGGGTTCTGGTTTCTCCTCATCCTCTCCCACACTTGTTATTGTCTGTCTTTTTAAAAGTATAGCCTGTATTTTTATTATAGTATGACTCTTCCAATTTTTGTCATTTTTAAAGATTATTTTGGCTGTTTTGGGTGCCTTGAGTTTCTATATGAATTTAAGAACAGTTTTTAAAATTTTTGCAAACAAATAAAAAATGCCAGCTGGGGTTTTGATAAGGATTGTCGATTATTAAATCTGTTAGGGAACATTGTCATCTTAATATTAAGTCTTCTGATCAATTAACAAGGGATATCTTTATGTATACCTACTTTAATTTCTTTCAACAATGTTTTTTAAGTTCTTAGAGTCTTAAATTTTGCATCTTTTAAACTTTGTTCTGAAGTACTTTATTCTTTTTGATGCCATTATAAATGTAATTGTTTTCTCAAATTCATTTTTGGAATGGCAATAGACTCTTAACATACTTTTTTTTGGCTTTTATTTAATCCTCAGTACAAGTCTACGAGGTGGGTATTCTCTTTGCAGAGGAGAAAATCAGTCCAGAGAAATTAAATGACTTAGCCCTGGCTGGTGTGGCTCAGTGGATTGAGTGCTGCTGACCTGCCAACCAAAAGTTGTTGGTTGGATTCCCAGTCAGGGCACACGCCTGGGTTGCGGGCCAGGTCCCCAGTAGGGGACTTGTGAGAGGCAACCACATTTTCATGTTTCTCTCCCTTTCTTTCTTCTTCCTTTCTCCTCTCTCTAAAAAATAAATAAATAAAGTCTTTTAAAAAAATTTAAAAAAAGAAATTAAATGATTTTGCCCACGGAGCAACCAAGGTAGTGTTCCTGGGAGTGCATCTGGATGATGAGGAGACACTTCCCTCAGCCTGACTGCAAACCCTTGCGTGCTTTCTGTTTGCCCTCTGAAACCCAAGGTGCAGAACCAGGAGGATTGGAAGGGAAATTCATGGTGTCTCAAGTGAGTGAATGAGGTATTCAAGAATCAGAGTTGGATCTTGAACAATGGAGACAGGAGTGATAGATACAGACTGCGTTACTTCTTAAGCCTTCAGGAAGTATTGGGAGGCAGTGTGGAGACCGTATGATTGAAGGCCCAGGTCCTAGGTTTGAGTCTGGTCTCCCTGCTTAGCTTGCTGTCCTCGAGCATTCATTTTCATCTTCATGGGGTTGCTGTTAAAATGAGTAAGTCAAATACAATTTATGTTCATAAAATTCAGAGCCTACTACATAGTAAGTGTTAAGTTAAATGTTAATTGTAATTGTTCTCTTGCCTGTAGATTTATTCTTATTCCATCTTCATTTTTCTCTTTTCAGTACAAGTTCAGGGATCTAACTGTGGAAGAACTAAAGAATGTAAATATGTTTTTCCCACATTTCAGATATTCCATGGACACCTATGGTAAGAATCATATTCTCTAGTTTTTGCTACATTATGTAAACTGTTAATCATTTGTTTCTAGAGAGCTACAAAATTATAGTTTCTCATTTCTCTGTTTTAGCCCCTGATTTTGAACTACACTTTGTGACCTGTGATCTCTGAGGCAATTTAAGTTAATACAATTTACCTTGTATTAATTTTCTGTTGCTACCATGACAAATTAGCACAAATTCCATGGCTTAAAACAACACATATTTACTGTCTTACAATTCTGCAGGCCAGAAATCCAGCACAGGTCTCAGTAGGGTAGAAGTTTGGGCTACAAGTCCAGGTGCTGGCAGGTCTCCGTCCCTTTCTGAAGGCTCTGGGGGCGAGCCCATCTCCTCGCCTTTGTCACTTTCTAAAGGTCCCCCCGTTCTTTGGCCCCAGATCTCCTTTGTCTTCACAGCAAGCAGTGTTGCATCTCTCCGGCTCTCCTCCTGTGGCCAAATCTCCCTCTCTCCACAGCTAGAAACGTCCTCTGCTGTGAAGGACCCATGTGGTTAGGTTAGTCCTACTCCTATAATAGACGACAGTTTCCCATCTCAAGGCAAACATCTGTACTTCTGTACCATCTCGGACCTGAGTTTTCTGTCAGCTTGGTTTCCTCGTTTCTCTTCCTGATGGATCAGCAAATCTACTTGGAATTTTTTTCTTCCACTAAATAGTATAGTTACTGAGGTTCTAAAAGGAACACAATTTCAAGGCAGTGTGATAGTTTGAGGCCAAAGGTAGTCTTTCCTGCGTTCTGTTCAGAGTTTAGGGCATTAGCTCTTGCCCAATGTGTCTCAGTTATTGGTGGGCAAGTTGAATTTCAGGGATGTGAAGATTGAGTAAAGATTAAGAATAATGGAGTTAGAGAAACCAAAGAAGATCATTATTGATCTTTTAAAAGGTCACTTTAAAAAATAGATTGAGCGCGGGCTGGGAACCAAAGTGTCCCAGGTTTGATTCCCAGCTAGGGTACATTCCTGGGTTGCAGGCCATAACCCCCAGCAACCGCACATTGATGTTTCTCTCTCTCTCTCTCTCTCTCTTCCCTCCCTAAAAATAAATAAATAAACTCTTTAAAAAAAAATAAATAAAGCTAACATTTTTTTCTGATGATAAAAGTTATAATCTGATTTCTGAACATGATTGTAACTGAGTTGTTACATGTGACAATTATTTGATAATGTCCCCACATTTTATAATCCTTTAGTTTTTTTCACATTATCTCATTAGATCTTTGCAACAACCTAATTATGCAGTATTACTCTTTTTATTTTATGGATGATCAAACTGAAGGTCAAAGAGATTAAAGTAACCAAAAGTCACACGCCTCTGAGTGGGGAAGGTGGACCTAGAACTTGGGATTTCAGTATCAAAGTCCTGTGTTTTTTCACCTACTCTCTCTGCCTTCTAAGAAAAAAACATTCAGTAATTCCCTTTGTCAGCCTCTTCACTGATTCCCAGATTGTGGTATTTAGAAATTTTGTGCATCTGTATATGCATATGTGCGAATGTATGTTACCTGCTGTTGCGTCAGCTTTGACTCCCGGTGACCCGACTGGAATGCACTTCCTACTTCTGATAGCACGTTTTGAGGCTTTTTTTTTTTCTTTCAGTTTTCAAAGATGATTCCCAGAAAGACTTGCTGAATTTCACTGGTACTATTCCTGTGATATATCAGGGTAAGTGTGGAAGTTGAAAAATTGTGGGAATTTTCTAAAAGAACAGTTTAGTAAGAACTTATATTTGATTCTCAAAGTGTTTTGACATGTATATGGTCTATACGGAGCCTTACTGAATGTAGCAGACAACTGTCTCAGTCAAGGAAAGTCTAGATTAATATCAACAAATTCAATTCAATTCAATAAATATTTATTAAATGTCAACTATGTGCCTACTACTCTACTCGGTGCCGGGGTTCAGAGGAGAGCAAGACAGACGTAGGCCTGCTCTGGTGGAGAATTGTCTCTGTTTTCTATCACAGACTGCAGGAATCCCCACCTTTGTCTTCATCACCTCAGTAGAGGGTGCCCCCTCCTTCCCCTCTATCTGATGTAGCGTCATCCCCACTCTACAGATGGAACTAAGTCTAAGCCTGGTCAGGTGATTTACCTAAGACTGCACATCTGGTATCAGGCCAGAACTACAAACTCCCAGTAGGAAAAATTAAAACATAAGGGTCAATAAAGCTCAAAGAAAGCAACACATTTTCAGTGACCTGACAGGTTAAAACAGCTAAATGTTTTCCCAAAAAGAAAAAAAATAAATCACTGAGTCCCTCTACCAGGGGTGTCAAACTCATTTTCACTGGGGGCCACATCAGCCCCTTGGTTGCCTTCAAAGGGCCAAATGTAATTTCAGCTCCTTAACAGTTAAGGAGTAGTTACATTTATACAGTCCTAAAATTATTTCAGCCCTTTGAAGGCAACTACAAGGCTGATGTGGCCCCCAGAGAAAATGAGTTTGACACCCCTGCCTTATACATTACTCTTCCTATTTGTCCAGACCTAGTTCCTCCAATGTCTAAGAGGACTAACTTTTAAGATAGATATCACAGGAGATTGCTTATATGGTGTGAGTTGAAGAATACCAGTGAAATGCTGGTTCTAATATAGTTCTCTTAAGTGGTGCCTGAAATTTCACCATTAGAAATGTATTCCTCTTTAAATGTGCAAAGAATCCCAGGAGGGATAACACCCCAAATCACTGCCAGACAGTGCTGTGCTTCTAGAAAACAGTCGGTGAGCAGTTGAGTGACTGCCCTGGCTTACCACTGACTGAAGGACTGAGGAGTACCTGGAACTACTGGACATTTGAAGGAGGAGGTACACTGCACAGGGACTGAGGAGCATCTGGAAGCCAAATGAGAAGAGAACGGTGGAGTTTACTATCTCTTAAAAAGGGCGGAATACTACGTAATGAGAATACTTTGTCCAAAAGACACCAAGAAGCTATATGTTGGAGGACTTTTTCAAAGTAGGTGCTTCATTATGGTAGTTCCTAGATTAGAAACCTTCCTTAATTTCTACCTCTCTGTAATGACTTATTGTCAGAAGCACACTCATGTTTTATTCTGCCTCTGTTTGTGTCCCCCCATGACACCTCCTTTGGCACAGGAAATGCAGACGAATTTAGTTTGGGTTTTACACATAGGAATGTGGTTGGAGATAAAAGTAGGTAGCAGTGGACACCCTGCAGAATTTGCAGGGAGGTAGGCAGAACACACATAAGGTTTGTTTTTATTCTCCTTTCATGCTCCTCTGCTACCGAGCGGTCAGACTATTTTCTGGCTGCCTGGAGAACTTTACTCAGACCTGTTCCCCATTACTTGTGCTCTGCATGTTTTATGGTTAGATGCTAGAAGGAGAGAGGGAATTCCTACCCACCCCAATGACTGACTGACTGATTGATTTCACAGTTCTTGCCCATCCCAATCATTTCAAGGGAAGGTGCATAGTAACAGAGGAGCTTATGCATTTAAATGAATCATTGCTTAGAAGCATTTCAGTTTTTAGAACAGTGTGGGGAAGTAACAGGAGGGCACACAAGTTATCTTAATACCATCGGTAAGGTGCATTTCGTTGGCATTCTAACTCTCCTGCTGCCATGGATTTGCGTCATTGGTTCTTATGCTGGCAGGGTTTCTCAAGGTAGTGACAGTAGGTACCTGCAATACCTTTTTATTGGCAGCACACTTTTTTCCCTTCGCTTTTTTTTTTTTTTTTAAGAATTTTTGGGATTGACGTTTTATCTGGGCATGTCACAGTCTTCAGAACAATCTGTCTTCAGAACAGTCACAGCACAGGAAATGCGTCACCAAGACTGCCCAGAAAGTCTGACCAGCTGAATTTTACTGCTTAAAATACACATATTCAACTGACAAATGGTGATGTGCCTCACATAGGAATGTGTTAGCATTTGCAAATCTTCTGTCTAGCATAGAACCCTCGATTGATACTTTCCTTCTCATTCTTCTGGAAAACCAGACTCAATCAAATCTCCCCGGCACCCTAATAGTCCTTCAACTCCCTGTTTCCATTTCTCTGTGCCTTCAGGGTAGACTCCTGGAGCAGGGACAGGTTGTGACTGCTAGAATCAAGCCCAGCTACCCAGGTTCTGTTCTCCTGTTCTCCTGCATTTAGGGTAGGACTCTACAGTGAACCTTAATACTCAGACCAAATCCCCACTCTAATTGGGGAAGGAAATTTGAGAGAGCCAGAATTCATCCATTTGATCCGTTAACTGAAGGAGGATTCATTTTGGTAAAACTGGATTCCTGGAAGAAGGGCTTGATTCCTTATGCTGTTACAGTTGTGTCAGTTTTTCCTCCTTTTCCCCCCTCCACCCAGCACCCCCATTCCCTTAGGAAATTCCTCCCACCATTGTTCCTGTTCATGGGTCATGGATAAAGTTCTTTGGATACTCCATTTCCTGTTCTGTACTTTACATCCCCGTGGCTATTGTGTAACTACCTATTTGTACTTCTTAATCCCCTCACCTCTTCACCCATTCCCCTAAAACCCCTCCCATCTGGCAATCATAAAAACACTCTGTATCCATGATTCTGTCTCTGTTGTTCTTGTTTGCTTAGTTTGTTTTTTAGATACATTTGTTGATGGGTATATATTTATTGCTATTTTACCGTTCATAATTTCAATCTTTTTCTTAAATAAATCCCTTTAACATTTCATATAATAATGGTTTGGTAATGATGAACTCCTTTAGTTGTTTCTTGTCTGAGAAGCTCTTTATCCGCCCTTCCATTCTAAGTGATACCTTTGCGGGGTACATCAATATTGGCTGTAGGTCCCTGCTTTTCATGACTTTGAATATTTCTTGCCAGTCCCTTCTTGCCTGCAAAGTTTCTTTTGATAAATCAGCTGACAGCTTTATGGGAACTCCCCTCTAAGTAACTAACTTATTTTCTCTTGCTGCTTTTAAGATTCTCTCTTTGTCTTTAACCTTTGGCATTTTAATTATGATGTGTCTTGGAGCGGGCCTCTTTGCATCCTTGTTCGGGACTCTGTGTTTCCTGGGCTTGTGTTACAGAACAGACAGGGGGGGCCTGGGACAATATACTATTATTGAAAGAAGGCCCTGGGTCCGTTATGTCTGCCGCCCTAGGAAAGACGTCTCTCAATGCCAGAGATTCGTGGAAAGGAAAGGAAATGTTTATTTAATGCTATACAGACTTCAAGTAGTGACCTAATGTCTTCATCAAAAATCCTAAAGTCCCTTAAAACACCCACAAACAGACAGTCCTTCCTTCCTTCCCCCTTTGCCCAGTCCAGAGTACCGTATCTCAGGAAAGGAAATAGAAGTCCATGGCTCAGGCAGTCCTCTGGTTCTTCCCAGTTAGTCCTCCATCTCGACTGGGAGACCTCCCTGGGTTCCCAGCACCCTCGGCTGATTCGCCGGGATCTCTGCTAAAACCAGGTGGTGGTTCCCCTTCTAAAGCTGTGGGGGTCCCCGCTCTGTCCAGGCCTCGTGGTTCTCCCTCTCAGGGCTGCGAGAGTCTCCACTCTGCCAAAGCTGTGTGGCTCTCTCTCCTAAAGCCGCATGGTTCTCTCTCTCTCAGGGCTGCGCATGGTTCTCCTTCTCAGGGCTGAGCATGGTTCTCCCTATTCTGCTAAAGCCGCATGGTTCTCTCTCCTAAAGCAGCACGGTTCTCCCTCAATGGCTGAGGTCCTCCCTATTCTGCTAAAGCCGCATGGTTCTCTCTCCTAAAGCAGCACGGTTCTCCTTCTCAGGGCATGGCCACAGCTATTTAACATATCTAAGCGACCAGCCAAAGGCTATAGATGTGTTAAATGACCACGCCGGAGGGTAGCTGCAAGGCTGTTGCTATGCAAAACAGCTCTCAATGGCCCTGCTCCATTTGTCCCTTCCCCCAACCCACACCGTGGGGGGGGGCGGTGGAGACATCTTAAAATCTCCTGGACACCTTAAGTTCTGGACCCCATTTCAAATGCCTATTTGGGGTCCCCCCTCTTGGTTGCACCCTGTAACACTTTCATGTCTGTTTCCTTCACCAAATTAAGAAAGTTGTCTTTCATTATTTTTTCAAATAGATTTCCAGTTTCTTCCTCTTTCTCTTCTCATTCAGGCACACCCCTGTGATGTGAATGTTGGACATCTTGAAGTTGTCCCAGAGGCTGCTTGTACTATCCTTTTTTTTTTTTGGATTCTTTTTTCTTGTTGTTCTGATTGGTTGTTTTAGGCTTCCTTATATTCTAAATCAGTGATTTGATTCTCGGCTTCATCAACTCCACTGTTGTTTCCCTGCACATTGTTCTTTATTTCAATTAGTGTATGCTTTGTTTCTGACAGAATCTTTTTTATGTTGCTGAGGTCTTCACTAAGTTTCTTGAGCATCCCTATAAGCATTGTTTTGAAATCCGCATCTGCTAGATTGCTTATCTCCCTTCATTTAGCTCTCTTTCTGGAGTTTTGATCTGTTCTTTCATTTGGGCCGTGCATCTTGTTTCCTCATTTTGGCAGCCTCCCTGTATTTGTTTCTATGATTAGGAAGAGCTGTTATGACTCTCTGTCTTGGTAGCATGGCCTAATGTAGTGGGTGTCCTGTAGGGTCCAGTTGCACAGCCTCCTCTATCACTAAGCTGGGTGCTCCAGTTGCACCCTTCATGTGTTCCTCTTATAATTGAGCCTTGATTGCTGTTTGCAGATCAATGAGAGAGATTTACCAAGGCCAGTCAGCTGCAACAATTGGCTGCGACCACTTGCCACCAACATCCACCCTCCATGGAAGATCAGCTGTGCAGGGGCTGGGTGGTGTTATTCCAGCGTGGTCTATAGTTTTCCACTGGGTGTGATGGCCCTGGACTTTCTTGGGTGGTGCAGGCCAAGGTCAGCCCCCACCTATATTTTGCCTAGGGCTAGCTACCCTGCTTGAGCTAGAGAGCAATCCGAGATGGCTCTTACTTGTGCTGGGCTTGGAGATTCCCAACTAGATTATTCTTATAAAAGCTCAACTAGTTATCTGAAGTCAAACTGCAGTAATAAGGGTCCTGTGGTCTGTCTGCTTGACTGCCTTCACCCACCCTTCCTGGGCCACTTAGATTCTTTACAAAAGCTACAACAATTAGTTATCCCACTCACAAAGGGGGAGGGAAAGGGCATGAAAACCACAGACAACCAAGGCAATTTTTTTTTCCAAGTGATCAGTTTAAAAAAGAAAACTTACTCAGCATCAAGAGAAAATACTGTGTGAGAGCCCAGCTGCCCTTCCTCAAGACCCACAGCCTCCTCACTTGTTCATATAGAATGATGGGACACGAAGCCTGCAGACAGTGTGCTTGAGGAAGGGAGGGCCCTGTGTGGGCACAGGCCAAAGGGCAGAGATGCAGAAAGCTGCACCTCTATCTGCCGCCATGGCTTAGGGCCTCCCGTTCACCTACAGAAGTTCCAGAGATAGCCTCCACCCAACCTGGTACACAAAACATCTCCTCTGGAATAGGTTCCCTCTGGCTCTATTGCAGCAAGGCTCTGTGAAGGCCAACTTGGGTTTTTCCCTTTGCTTCTTTAAAAATTATCATTCAAGTATATGTACATTGATTTTAGGGAGAGAGGCGCATGAATCGGTTGGCTCCCATACACATCCCAACTGGGATTGAACTGACAACATAGGTGTGCGCCCTAACCGAGAATTGAACCCACCTTTTGGTGTATGGGATGATGCTCCAACCAAGTGAGCCACCTAGCCAGGGCTTTCCCTTTGCTTTTGACTAGAATTTACATCAACTCATGATGCACGCTAGTTATTTCTTGCTGATGAGACTGTCAGAATTTATTATCTTTCTTTATCAAATGGACCAATATAAATGGTCACTTTGTGGTACTATGATCATATGACTTTATAATCATAAAGTTATATACAGATCAATAGGTATACCTATCTATACCTATACCTATACCTATATTGTAAATATTTAGACACTGTGTATGTGATGGATGTTGACTAACTGTGGTGACATACCTCAGTAAAAACATTCTTTAAATAGTTAGACACCCCTGGCTGGTATGGCTGAATGGATTGAGTGTTGGCTTGTGAACCAAAGGGTCACCAGTTCTATTCCCAGTCAGGGCACATGCCTGGGTTGTGGGCCAGGTCCCCAGTAAGGGGTGTACAAGAGGCAACCACACACTGATGTTTCTCTCCCTCTCTTTCTCCCTCCCTTCCCCTCTCTAAAAAGAAATAAAATGTTTTTTGAAAAGTACTTAGACAAAAGTAGAGAAGGATTATAGAGTCTTGAGTGATTCAGTAGGACCAAGGTTGGGGAGAGGTAAGGAGGAGAAGAAACAAACAAAGAAAACTGAAGGAGCAGCCGTTGGTATAGATGGAAACTCAGGAAAGTGTGATGTCTTGGAAACCATGAGAAGAAACTTATTCAAGATGAAGAGAGCTCTTGATACTTCGAAAGCGTCTGATACTTCAGATCTTGCTCTACAGAAACAACCAGTTTTGCCTGGTGGCTAAAAATCCAGAGCAATCAAATAGGAATGATAGTGAAGACAAAATAAGGAAAAATAAAAACTGGAGAGAAGGGGAAGGAGATAAAGAGGAAAAAAGGAAAAAGATATAAAAGAGAAACCAGAAGAGGAGCAAGAGGAGGTGAAAAAAGAAGAAAAAGTGGAAAATAAAGAAGAACATCTTGAGAAAAGATTAATCAGTAAACCCTTCCTCGCCATTCTCTGGGCAAAGTTTAAGTTGCATTTCAATTTAACATGACAGAAAAACAGGTAAGTCAATGATTATTTATATTTTTAAAGATTTTATTTATTCTTTAGAGAGAAGGGAAGGAGGGGAGAAAGAGAAGGAAAGAAACATCACTGTGCGAGAGATACATCAATAGGTTCCCTCTCGCATCTACCCAACTGGGGACCTGACCCACAACCCAGGCATGTTCCCTGACTGGGCATTGAACTGGCAGCCTTTTGGTTTGTAGGCCAGCACTCAGTCCTCTGAGCCACACCAGCTAGGACTAAAGCAATGTTTTTTTAAAAAGAGCGAGGAATTCAATAAAGAAATGTATAAACGGAAATATAAGAGAAAGCTTGAGAGAGAGAGGGGGCTAAGGAGAGAGAAAGAGAGGGAGAGAAACATTGTTGTGAGAGTGACATCTATTGGTTGCCTCCCTTACACACCCGGACCAGGGACTGAACCCACAACCTAGGTATGTGCCCTGACTGGGAAATGGACCTGCAACCTCTCAGTTATAGGGCAATGCTCCAGCCAACTGAGCCACATTAGCCAGGGCCATGAGAAGCTTTTTTAAAATTATGTCCACACCCCATCCCACTGAATCAGAAACTTTGGGGGAGTGGCCTGGATATTGGTATGTTTCGAAGTTCCTTAAATATTTCTAATTTTCAGACACTGCTGAATATTATTGTGCTTCGAGGAAGAGTAAGTAAGCAAGATGAAAAAAGTAACTCTCAGTGGAAGGAGGATTTCCTCAGTGAGAAAAGGGTTGCAGTGGAAAAGAGAACATTTTATACCTGGCCTATTTGCAAAATGCAAACATTGCCAACCTTTCATGGTACTTACCATGTTGTATACTGCTCTAAGCACTTTACTTACCTACATTAACTAATTGCATCTTCACAACAACCCTGTGAGGTACAAGCTATTATTCCCATTTTATAGAGGAAGGAACTGAGATACAGAGAAGTTAAGTTCCCTGAAATCATATAGCCAGTAATGTGTGAAACCTATGCATTCTGGCTTCTAAACCGCCATGTTCTTAAGTACAGTGGAAGACATATGCAATAAGACTACAAAAGCAGGAATAAGTATCAGGAGCTACAAGAAAAGAGCCAAAGTGATTGATGAGATTTTTAGTTTAAGTTTAGTTTTTGTACTTTTATTAGGTTTAGCTCTGGGCTCCCTGGCTGCTGGGGCAGCCAGATGTTGGCTCTCAGCAGGCGTGACGTGCGTGATTACAACCGGAGGAGCGTGCAGGCGAGTTCCCATTGCAGCGCACTGAGATGGACGGGCCCCTGGGCAAGGCGACGACTGTTAGGGTTAGTTTCAGCTCTAAGTCTTCGTAGCAAAACTAGCTTGTATGTTACAGTACCTGCTAGTAGGGAGCAACTTGAGGGCCAGTATCAAATTCATCTTATTCATTTATTTTTTATTTGTGTATTAATTCAGTCATTCTTAATTATATAAGAAACTTTTATCGAGCAGCCAGTATGTCGGGCACTAACTATATTTGGTGCAGGGGATATAGAAATGAATAATACGTAATTCTCTCTTAAGAGGAAGTTTACAGTGTAAAAGAAGAAACAACTGTAAACAAATGCAGAAGTATAAAAATATAAGGGTCCAGGCAGCAGTGCCTCTGTCTCACTTTCTCTTACTTTTCCCCCTTCCCCTTCCTTTTTTTTTTCTTTTTCTTTTTCCCCCTTCCTCCCTTTCGCCATTTCCTCTTGGAGGTGCTTCCCCACCAGCTGGGGCAGAGCCGGTCTCACCCCCTGCCTCCTAAAAAATGCACATACATATAAGGGTCCACGACTATTCAAGAAAGGTGCAGTAGCTCTGCTCGGGCGGACAAAGAGGATTATGCAGAGAAGATGGTGTATCTCAAACTCCTGGCACAGCAGGTCCTGTCAATATTCATTGAATTGAATTGGATGTCTTAATTAAATTTCCTCAAATACTATGCTGGTGACTTAATGGGAACATATTTCCAATGTTAATGTAGATGAAGTGGGGAAAATAGGCCTCGATTTACATAAATCCTTTATATATAAACTTGACTATGCATCTTAAAATGCTACCTAGCTATGCCATAGGTAAATGCATGTGCCTTATTATTGTTTGAAGTGCGTTTATTTTGTCTCAAATAGGTAATACATATAACATACCAATTCGTTTGTGGATTTTGGATTCTCACCCTTTTGCTCCCCCCATTTGCTTCTTAAAGCCAACCGCAAATATGGAAATCTCAGTTGGAAAACATGTGGATGCTCAAGGCAGAATATACTTGCCCTACCTCCAAAACTGGAGCCATGTAAGATCAATTTGGGTTTTCTTTTAAAAGTTATTATTTTTCTGAATATTTGTATTTATTTCTAGTGGATCAAAGTAACAAGTTACTGAATTTTCTTTCAACTATATGCTTCATATGGTCTTTAAAAGTAACTAGAAATTGAGCCCCCAGGGGTCACTGGAGCCCCAGGACCCTGATGACAGCAGCCTGCCTGGGGCTGCTGTCTCCGAGTCTAGGAGCCAGCTGGTGTTTGCTGCTTGATAAAGCACATGTAAAGCTACTAGCAAGATGTTGGGCATTATTTCCCATTCCCTCTCTACTAAAGATTCTTAGGTAATATGTATGTATTTATTTGTAGTTTTGCCTCTCTATGACCTTTAATAAATTGAATCATATAATTTTCTATTACGTGCTTTGTTTTAATTAAATTTTTAAAATTCACTCATGTGATGTATGTAACTGTAATTTACTTGTTTTACAAATCCTCACATTATTCAACTTTGTATTCTGCATTTTTCATCTGCCATTATATTGAGCATTGATAAATCTCTAGGAATGCAGTAATTGGATCAAAGGTTATAAATATTTTGAAGTCTATCCTTATCTGTTGCCAAACTGGCCTCCAGAAGGTAGGCGGAATGTTGCACATCTCCCATCAGTAGAAATCAGTGCAGGCAAGTACCTGTTCTACAGCACCCTTGCTCTAACAGAAGGTATTATTCAAACCAAATAGGCTTTGCTTATCTCTTTACATTTACTTTAAAATGCTCTCATTTTTATAAGTAATTAAAACCTTTATGAAAGGCTAATTTATAATAACATGTGTGTACGTGCCCAGGAAGTTGTAGAACATGGGGACGGGGCTGTCTGAGAGTCCAGTGCGGCTGCTGCCGCGGATGGCGTCAGGGTCGTCACTTATTTTGTATGTGTCCCATGGAAAGGTGTGCAATTGTGGACACGTTTTACTTTTTTTATGGTTTTTATTTTCATATATATAAAACCTTTAAAAAGAAGGAAAAAAGAAACAGTAAGAGAAAGAATTCACACCAATTTGTCAGTAGTGGAGTTTAGGTAGAAAAATATTGACTGTTTATTGACTGTTGTATGAACTTGTACATTATTTGTAATAGTTGGTGATTTAAATAAGATTTTCAGTTAAATGTTATGATGGGGTCTTGCTAAAAATTAGTCCACTGGAAGGCCAAAAATGATGTCTTAATCTTAATGTTTAGTTCTTTGGATAACTGAGAAATTTAAATCTTTTTCATATATTTATCAATCATGTATGTTTCTCCTTTTTGAATTCCTCTCCCCTTCATTCATATTACCTTCTTTTTTCCTTTTCTTTTTTTTTAAAGATTTTATTTATTTTTAGGAAGGGAAGGGAAGGAGCTAGAGAGAGAGAGAGAGAGAGAGAGAGGGAGAGAGAGAAACATCAATGTGCGGTTGCTGGGAGTTATGCCCTGCAACCCAGGAATGTACCCTGGCTGGGAATCGAACCTGGGACACTTTGGTTCCCAGCCCGCGCTCAATCCACTGAGCTACGCCAGCCAGGGCCTCCTTTTCTTTTTTTAAAACTATCCTCAAAAGATATTTTGACATCTGTACCCCGTTGTGGGGATCCATAGTTCCTGTTTCCTCTTTCTGATTTTCTTGGGCATCTCTTTTCACAGTGTTATTTGTTTGCTTGTTAATAAATACTCAGAGACAGTACATAATCTAATTGAGGTTGTGCTTTATTTCAGCTCAGACAGTGTTGATTTCATTTCACTATTTCGAGCTTCTGTATTATAAGCTAAAACTGGTTTTAAGATGACATTACATTATTTAAATTACCCTATTTAAGATTACTAGTAATTTTAAGTTCCACATACTCTTGTACAGTTGGAATTATAATTATATAGAATTTTGGAGCCAGAAAGAATCTAGAGGTTGTATAGGCCAAGGATTACAGACATTTTCCCCAGTAGGGTCAGTGTGCTGTGTTGGGTCTATAGAATTTTGTTGGAATGGCACAAAAGTTTTGTTTTATTATTTTCTTCTTTTTTGTTTTGTTCTCAATATGAATTTGAATGCCTATACATGTACTGTTTCCAATCTGCCACAATAAATTTTGCATCTCCCCAAATTTTCTTATCCATAACACCTTCACACATTATGTTATCTGCTTAGTCTTTAAAGGGGTTCGATGCTAATGGCCTCATCCTCTTGACTTACAGATAATGAAACCCAGACACTGAGAATTGAAGCACTTTTTACAATGAAAAAGCTACTTGATATTCCTAACAGTAATAAATATCAATTTTACACTCAGAGCATATAGTTTGTATGCACTGGCTCATTTGCTTCTCGTAACAGCCCCTTGGGATTTGTTTTCACATATATTGCTGATAGCACTGGAGCTAAGCTAGGTTAAATGAATTTCAGTAAGGTTGCTTAACCAGTTAAATGGAAAGCAACAGGACCAGCTGAGATAATACTGCTCAGGGCTAATTTCAGGTCTGAGGACGGTTGCCCAGGTACTCTGCGAGTAAGCACGTTCACATTGTTTCCCCACATTTCGGAGACGTGGGTGTAACATACCTTTCTTCATTCTTCAGTTAAAAGATTTAAGTAACTTTCTAAATGAAAGTATTAAAACAGTTGAAGGTATCAACTAATTTCCGTGGTACTTTTCAAAAAATGAGAGTGTAACAAAGTACTTTGTCTTGGCTAACTAAAACAAGGTGTAGGTTAACAGGGTAGTATTCGTGAGCAAAATTTTTGCATAACTCTTCTCTTTGTGTGTATTCTGCAGCCTAAATCTGTCATTGTAGGATTAATTAAAGAAATGATCACCAAGTTTCAAGAGGAACTTCCCCTCTATTCTCTCTCCCCATCTGACGAGGCACGGCAGGGGGACTTGCTAGCCTATATTGCAAAGATCACTGAAGGTTTGTGTTTTTGTTAATCAGAGGGTTATGAGGTTACAGTGTCTCACTAACAGCCTCTATTCTCTGCTACTTTATTCTTATAAATAAATACGTACACACACACATCTCTGTGTTGAATCAAAAATCCCTGTCCTTCTATCATAGGGTAAGTTTTAGCATACAGTTACAGTGAATATGGTTTCTTAAAATGTAGAAGATTACTCCTATACTGACAGATGAAACAATTTTGTGTTTTGTTCAGAATCACTTGATATATACAGGGGTGGGCAAAAGTAAGTTAAATTATCAGCCATTATTACCTAAAAGATAAATCATAAGTAAGGATACAAAATAATAATAATAAGAAGAAGACAAATTATACTATAATAAATAATAATACAAGAATGAACTGTTTCGTGTCCTCACAGCTGTAAACCTGCTTTTGCTAATCCCGTATTAATGATCCTAAACCATTTTCATTGTATGTTTTTCTGGTTTATTGCCTCATTTCAATATATGGAACCAGAAAATCCCATGATTCTCAGTGTTTCCATTGAGTATAAAGCAAAATACCCATGCTTGTAAAATTTTGTAAGGTGTTAAATATTTTTTACATTTTAGACCAGAACAGTAAGAATCAGAATGTTTTTTAGAATTATGAAAATTCTGGGGGTTTTTTTCAGACTTATGTAATGTGTCTAAATGTTTGGAAGGATATTTTCCTTTTAAAAGGGTAGCCTTCATTTAGCAGAATATTTAATATCAGATTCCTATCGTTCTGGCATTTCATTTGTTTGGCAAGTATTTTGAGTGCCTGTTATGGGTTAGGACCACGTGTTCTGTCCAAGTTATTGAAGCTTGGTGTATTTTTTTAAAAAGATGATAAAAAGATCTTTTATACTATTTTTAAATGGTCATGCTCATTCACCTTTTTCTTTCTAGGTGTCTCAGACATAAATTCAAAGAACTGGGCAAATTATGAGAACAAAACAGTAAAGAAAATTACCGTGGTTGGAGGTGGAGAACTAGGAGTTGCCTGCACATTAGCAATCTCAGCAAAGGTATGTAAGCATGGTGGCTATAAATACATTTATCGTATTGCTGCACTTTGGGTTAGTTTATGGTTAGTATACAAGAAATGATGGTTTAATTTTGTCATTCGGGAAAATCTCTTTTTGCCTTAAAATATATTTACTTAGTTGACAAAAGCCAAACGCTCTCATTCAGTTAGTCATGGAATAGGCTTTGAAAAAGTGATTTGAATAATGGGCTTATCACACTAATTCAAGGGAAACCTCAACTTGGCATTCATCTGACTTAGTCATATTTTCTGAGTCATGCTGCTTATTTTTTAAAATATTTTATTTACTTATTTACTTTTAGAGCAAGGGGAAGGGATGGACAGGTAGGGGGAGAGAAACATCTGTGTGCCAGAGAAACATTGATGGGTTGCCTCTTGCACTCTTCTGAGTGGGGACCTGGCCCACAACCCAGGCATGTGCCCTGACTGGGAATTGAACCTGAGAACTTGAGGTTTGCAGCATGATGCCCATCCTACTGAGCCGTACCAGTCAGGGCTGAGTCATGCTGCTTTAATTAAACTCTTATTTAATAACTTAATTTTAGCTCTTTCTAAAACTCTTAAATAGAATTTTTAAGGTGATCTTTTTTCATATAATTACTTTCTTTAAGATTGTAATTCCTGAATTGATAGTTTGAGATTTATTTTTCATAAGTCCTTTTTACTAGATATTTTCTATATAAATTATTTTCAGAAAGGCACTTAAATCCCCCTTCCAGAGTGATTCAAATGCCCCTGTAGGGCCCAGTATCTTGGTAACAGTGTGTCTATGTCATTTGAGGAATATAGTCCAGAATAGAATAGTTGTCCCTTTATATATTTATTTGGTGCCTATCATTTGATTTTCTAGTCTATTACACTTTGATTGTTTACCAACTAAAATTTCCCCTTTTCTTGCTTTCTGATTTCTTCCATTTAAGACTCACATATGTCTTGGAGCTAGGTTCTACTTTAGCAAATAATTAAATTGTATTCAGGGAGCCAGAAAGTTTTAAATCTGGCTGTTGAGAACAATACAAGTATATGCTAACTTTTGGCATATTTATAATTTCATGTCCTCCACCCTCCACCTGAATAGACTATTCCCTCTTAATTAGAATTGGAATTGTTTTCAATTCTCTTGTTACTCAATAGAATGCTTCTGTAAACACTGCTTTACAAGCTGCTTATTTTCTCATCTGAATTTTTTTTTGGGTGTACATAATCTCAGAAGTAATACTAGTAAATCAGAGGGCATGGATGGTTTTTATGGCACTTATTACATATTGCAGGGCTGCTCTTTAGAAAGGAAGAACTAATTTATGCTACTAATAAAAATGTGCACATCAGCCAGAATTTTGACATCTCTAACTCAATACTGAGTTTCATCAATTTTCTTTGTTTTTGTTAAGTACAGAAAGCTCTTTAAAGTTATGTTTCTTTAGCTGTCAGAAGAGTCTCACTGTTAGTATTACCTTGTGAGCTGTCTAGATGGCAATTTTTTCCCATTTTTCCTTTTAAACATTACTATTTTAAGACAAGGTACAATATTCAAGTAGTGCAACAATACTCAGATAGTACAATAGTAGCCATAATAGCAATAACAGTATGTACTAGTGGCGGTACAGCAGTAACTGACCTTTACTGAATGCTTAACCAGGTGCCGGGCACTCATCCAAACACTGACTCATTTTTACAGCAACCCTGCTGCTCAGATACCATCATTACTGACCTTTTACAAATGAAGTAACCAGGGTATAGGAAGGTTACCCAACTGCCCAAAGTCACACTGTTAATAAATGGAGCCAGCATTTGAAGATAGGCAATCTATTTCTAGAACCTATATTCTAGATCCTTCCTACTCGATGTGTGGCTTTCAGACCAGCAGCATTGACATAACCTGAGGTCTTTCTAGAAGTGCATAATCTCCGGCCCCAGTCCAGAGTTACAGTAGCAAATCTGCGTTTAAGAAATCCCTGGTGATCCATGTGCTTCACTGACCTACTCAATATGACCCTTTAGCTTGAGAAGCTCTGCTTCAAACCGCTATATTATACTGCTTCATTATTACTGTTGTTAGCAGTGGGTGTTTAGGTTGTTTGGTCTTTGTTTTGTTTTGTTTTTCTGAGTTTATTTGATCCAAGCCAATGACATATGCTAGGCTCAAGATTTCAAATGCTCCCTCTATTCTTCTGAATATCTGTATACCTATACATCTTGTATCAGCATCCTACATGTACTAATAGATTTGTAGGATAATTTGCATAAATGAAATTGATAGATTAAAGGAGTTACTGTGTTTTAAAATTTTGATAGAAATTTTCAAATTATCTCTATGTCAGTTTATTCTCATACCCATAGTATGTGAAAATACCTGTTTTTTATTGTTGTTAAACTTTTGGATCTTTGAATGTCTGATAAATGACAAATGGTAATTCAGTTTTCTTTGCATTTTTCTTACAAGTGACTAACAATAATACAATTAATAGGTACGATTTAGAGGACTGCTCTCTGCCAAGCCTGTGTCACATAATTAATCCTCACAACCCATGAAGTAAGGTCAAGTTCAGTGACTTGCCCAGCATTACAGAGCTAATAAGTAGTCTTGTTGGGTTATTTTCCTAACTTCTGCACTTTCTTCCCAATAGTCTGGTAGATCCCTTGGTGTTCTTGCTCCTGGACTCTAAGACAGGAGAGAGCCTTAGATCCCTTAGTACTTTGGAAGACCTTCCATAACCTTCCACAAAGGTAATCTGACTTTTAGGGTATCCCATGTTGTCATTTACAGCCAGCCCATCCTGGCACCCAAAGAGCCATCTATCAGCAGGTGGAGATCGTTTCCATGAGCTCTCTGGGCAGAGTGCTGCATGATAACTGGATTTTATTTTAGATTTCTGGCTATTATCCCTTTTTCTTTTTTATATGCTTACTGATTTTTTTTAGAGAGAGAGGAAGGGAGAAAGAGAGTGAGAGAGAAACATCAACTGGTTGCCTCCATACATACCCCAACTGGGGATCGAACCCACAACCTAGGTATGTGTCCTGACTGGGAATCGAACCCCCAGCCTTTTGTTGTGTGGGACGATGCTCCAACCAACTGAGCCATAGCAGCCAGGGTTATCCTTTGTTTCTTTAAGAGAATGTTGGTAAGTTGTGTTCACTTTCATGCTAGGAATTAGATGCCAAAAGAGACTAAAAAGACCACTCTAAATTCTTTCAGAATGTAAATTTTAACATCAAAATGAAAACATAAACTCAATAACAATAACAAACATATTGAATGAGCCAAATCATCTTTATTACTTGTCCCATCAAAGGAAACCTGCGATCTGTGACTTCTGATGTAAGCCCTGCTAGATCCGAGTTTTCAGTGACACCTGAGGGACCACGTTATTCAAGTTCGCAGTAATTTCTTGCTTGCATGTCCCTTTTATTGTTATTGCATTACTTTTGCTTCATAACACAGCACATGAGCCCTGTGTATTCTCCCGTAGCCCTCACTTCTGCATGAATTTAAATCGAGTAACTGGACATGGCCAGTGTAATGCTCTTCTGTTTCTTACTGTGCAGGGCCTTGCAGACAGACTCGTCCTCTTAGACCTCTCAGAAGGGACGAAGGGAGGGATGATGGACCTTAATATCTTCAACCTGCCTAATGTGGAGATCAGCAAAGGTCTGGTTTTTCTGCTTAAAACTTGTGTGCCTTATTTACTCTTGTATTTAAGTCCTAGAATTTTAATAGACTTTATTTTTTTAGAGCAGTTTTATATTCAGAGCCATATCGAGGAGAAGGTACAGAAATTTCCCATATGTACCTCCTGCTCCCACACATGCATAGCCTTCCCCATTGTAACAATGGTAGGGAATCCCCTACCTAAGTGGTACAAATGGTGAACCTACCTGGAAACATCATTATCATTCAAAGTCCGTAGTTTACTTAGGATTCACTCTTGATGTTCTACCTTCTATGGATGAGGACAAATCTATAATGACATGTATTGACCATTATTGTATCTTAGAGAGTTGTTTTTCCTTGTAAAAGCTTGGAAAATTTCTGGGCAAATGGAATACGGAAACTGAGAAAAGAAAATAAACAAGGCCAAACAGGTTGAGCAACTTACAGCCAGCTGGTGAATCACAAGACCTTATCTTCCCTGGGCCTAACCAAGGACACTTGAGAGCAAAGTGGCATCTACCTCTCCTCCCTACCCAGACAGTACACAGCTTAGATGACTCTGGTTTGGGAAATAGAGAACAGAGACCCAGTCGTGCCATTTGTGCCAGCCAAACCCAGGGATGGATAAAGTCAGGGGAACAAATAACAAAACCCCGAGTAGAGCCAGACAGACCCAAGATAAAAGTAACAGTGAAGCAAACCAAAGAATAATCTCAAACTGTCCTATATGCTCATTTTGATGCATCAGCATGTTAAAAACAAACCTGGAAAGCTGATGAATATTCTGCTGAAACTCTCCGCTAACATTCTCACCTGCAGAAAAGAGAAAAGTCTCAAGACAAAAGATGTAAGTATGGACTTGCTATAGAGCATGCTCATACCCCTTCTTAGGTATGCAAGTTTTACTTCCTCCTAAACTCCAAGGGTCTCCACGAGACTTGCAACCAGGGGGGCAGTGGGCAGCTGGAGCTCATCCCAGGCTCATGCCCTGGTCCTGTCTCCAAGGCCCCCTTTTTCTCTGACTTACCCCTGAGCTAACAGCAGCCGCGCCTAGGCTCACTCCTTTCCTGTAATGTTTCTAGGGAGCCAAAGCAGAGCACTGTGTAAGCTGTCTCCTGTTGCTTCTGCCCTGAGACTTTCCATTGTGTCACTGTCCCCGGCTGTAATAAATGTGCGGTCAAAACCACCTGGACTTGTGTTGTGAAATCTTTCCTGCATGAAGTCAAGAACCCATATACTACAGGCCAGCCTGAGGCAGACCCACTCTGGGCATAGGCCCCGTCTGGTAATAGTTTCTGTCCTAAAAATCACCTGTGCTCTGCCTGGAGTACTAGAATCTTAATGCTGAAAGTACCTTAAAGATCACCTAGTCCAGGCCAGCTCAGTGGGTTAGAGTGTGGTCCTGACATGCCAAGGGTGCGGGTTTGATCCCAGGTCAGGGTACATACAGGGATGAACCAATGAATGGGTAAATAAGTGGAACAACAAACCTATGTTTCTCTCTGTGTCTGTCTCCCTTTTCTCTCTAAAAATCCTTAAAAAAAAAAAGGTCACCTAGTCCAAATCCCTCAATTTACATGTTTAGAAACTAAGATTAAAAAAAAGTTAAGTGACTTACCCAGAGTCTTACAGAGTCTACAACTATTTATGTTAACCAGAGTCAGATAAGTAAATGATATTCAGGTTGGTCAGAAGGATATATTCTTGTCTTTTTCAAATCACTTTAGGGGACTGTTTGGTGCATGAGCCCTAGAAGTCGTGAGGCCGTTTAGCACATGAGGAAATTGTTTCTTTCTGTGTATCTCATCTTAGTATAGATTTATTTTCTCTGGTTGCTTGCTTTTTCATAATATATTGGTTATGGACACTGGCTCAGGTGGTTGGAGTGTCGTCCCACAAACTGAAAAAGGTTGAGGGTTCGATTCTTGGTCAGGGCATATTCCTCAGTTGCAGGTTTGGTCACCGGCTGGGGCGTGCGCAGCAACAGATTGATGTTTATACCTTCCTCTCTCTAAAATCACTAAGCATGTCCTCAGGTGAGGCTAAAAAAATAAAGAAAGAAATTGGGAGCTTGAGAGGAAATAGTATGGAGTAGGATGCCTTTCTTGCACTTTGAAATATTAGAAAGCTTCTACTCTGTTTACTCATAAATCAAACCTGAGGATAAAGGCATTTTCATCATTCGAAGCAGAAGAAGCTAGAAGGGGAAAAGAAAAGAAATGATCCTGGCAAGGTAGATTGGGCCAAATTATAGGGTCAGAAGTTGAACCATTCACTGGTATTTAATAATATGGACAAGCCACCTAATTTTTCCAGGTGTCAATTTCCTCTACTTTATGAGGGTTAAGCACACTCTGAAGCCAGGCTGCCTGGGCTTGAAATTCTGGCTCTGCTACTTACTAGGTCTACGACTTTGTACAAGTTACGTAATTCTCTGTGCCTCAGACTCGTTATCTGTCAGATGCGGATGATGTTGACCCTATAGTGTGTTGTGGCTTAGATTGAATGAGTCAATGTATGGAAGGCTCTTGGAACATTACCTGGCACATGAAAGTGGTATGGAAGTCTTTTCTGCTGTCTTCCAATTCTTGAGATTTTGACTCATCACCAGATCCTATTCCGAACTCTAGAACACAGGAATTGCTTAAGAGGGCTCATGAAGAACCGTAATTAAAATCCATGAGTCAGTTTTCAGAGCTACCATGCCCACAATTATGTGAGGTTAAGAACTGAAATTGGGTGGTGCATTTCCCAGGGGACACAGTGCACATGTGTTTCCTTTTGAAACTTGTTTAGGAAGATGGCCCTTGAGGCTTAATTAAGACTGTAAACCCTGTTATCTACTCGTTGTCTCCCTGGGATGCTAATATTCATTTACAAAGGTTGAACTGATGCCTTCTACTTGCTTTCTTATAGTTCTGTTGTTTCTGATGTTGACAATGTCTGGCTACTGATTTGACATGCACTTACTGTAAGACAGAGAGTAATGGTGTAAAATAGCACATGTACGTTTGAGGATCGCGGCAGGAAGCCCCAGGAAACAGCTTTTCCAAAGTCCTAACAGTTGCTTATGCATTACGTCCCATTGAAAGAAGAACCCAAAACCAAGGATAGTGGGCTTTAGTAAAGGAAAGTCAGTAAAAAGTGTAAGCCAAGACCTTTTATCTTGATTTAAAGATTATTCAAACCCCTTTTTTCCTCTTTGGAGTAGAATCCTCAATAAATAAAACAGATATGAGCAGAACTACTCTGCTTGAAGTTAAAGTAAGTGGCCTGGAGCTGTGCCTACCAGCCTCCTTCTCACTCGCAGGCCTCCCAGCTGGCCTCTGAGTCACGTTTAAGAACTCTAGGACTCCTAAGCTCAGAGTTTAGAAATGAGTGATATAATTGATTGTAAGTTCATTTTGCCTTAGTATATTATTTATTTTCCCTAATAAAATTGTGAATTGCATCAAAACAAATTCCTTTTGTGGGTTCTGGATCCTGTAATTTATTTGGTTTATCTTTATTGCTCTCTTTCCCACCTTGGGATACACTCTTGCTCTTAATTCTCCTTCTGATGGCAAACGTCAGCACTAGGTATCCTTCCTATGGAGATAAGATTGACTGGGGTCAAGTATGCCTAACAGCTCTCTACTTGAAGAAAAGAAAAACCTTCTTATGAACTTGAACTTGAATAAAACCTATATCTTGAGCCCTGGTTGATACAGCTCAGTGGATTGAACTCCAGCTTGTGAACCGAAAGGTCACTGGTTCGATTCCCTGTCAGGGCACACACCTGATTCGCAGGCCAGGTCCCTGGTTGGGGGCATGTGAGTGGCAACCAATTGATGTCTTGTGGGGGAGCTTTGTCCAGAGAGCCTCCCTGTCTGCCATGGATGAGAATAAGCCTACCAAGACATAATCTGCTTGGGGAGAAAAGGTGGCCGATCTCTCACAGGAGAAGGACCAAGAGCCTTTTCCTTAATGGCTTTTACACAGGAATTCAGGTAAAGCTCATTACTCATTGCTGGGAAGTAAGGATCAAATAACAAGGAACTCTGAGGGCCTATTTTGAGTCAGGGTCAGATAGCTAAAGAACTGTAAAACTTTGAGGAACAAACTTACTTCTTCCTTGGACCCTTATCAGTTAATTGAGAGCATTCTAAACAAAGCAGGTTTCATAGGATTTTACATACTCTTTCTTAGGCCTGATCACCTGGGAACCCGCCCTTTCCAGCACAGGGCTGCACCACCCTCTGTCATTGTTTCAGGCTTAGGTGGAACAAGGGACGTAGGGCAGCCAAGAGATTAGGAGATTTTCTTGCAGACAATGAGGACTCAGGCTATGTCAAAGCCGAGGGGCAAGGGTCAATTACCCCCTTTTGCTGTAGCCCCCAAAGTCCTTCCTTTGGGGCCTCCCACGTGATCGTGCCTGTCTTAGGTTGTTCCCCCCCTTGGGGAATCTTACCCGTCATCGGCTAACTGACCAAGCATTGGGGGCCAGGCAGGGTGAAGTAAAAGGAGCAGAAGTGGTGCTCCTGCCAGGGAGATAAGCTTTTGTCTCCTTGCTGGCTTACGGTCCAAGGTCGCTCCCTCAGCCTTAGCCTTGGTGGGGGTTACAGCTTCTAATACCAGGCAGGGCGGTTCCCAACATTGTCTCTCATACAGTGTTTTTCTCCCTCTCAATCTCTCTCCCTTCCCCCTCCCTCTATAAAAACAAGCAAGCAAACAAAAACCCTCTATCTTGACCTCAGGTTGTTTCTTTTTATTCATTTAGATCCCTCTGCCTCTGCTCATTCCAAGGTGGTCATCTTCACAGTTAACTCTTTGGGAAATTCTCAGTCCTACCTTGATGTGGTGCAGAGAAATGTGGATATGTTCAGAGCCCTTGTCCCAGCTCTGGGGCATTATAGTCCAAACAGTGTCCTGCTTGTTGCATCTCAGCCAGGTAAAAGTTTCATTTTAAATGAATTTGATGGTCCAGTGCATCAGTAGAATTGCCATTACTGATAAAAGTCATAAAACTAGATTATAAAGGGACGACTAGGGTATTCAGTTAAATTGCTCTTACAAGGAACAGTATAGTATTTCCATATCCTGTCGTCCAGTGACTTCTTATGGCTGGCATTAACTAAAAGGTTACAAATCACAATTTTTAATGTAGTACTACTATTACTATGTTCCAGGTTGTTAGCCATGCTTTCTTCAGTGAGAAAATAAACTCCCAAGAGAAGAATGCAGTGACTTAAGTGAAAGATATTTTGTTAATTCTGAAGCATCATAAAATGTTAGTGAGCATGCCAATTTTTAACATTTTGTATTTTAAATTGTTTAAAGTGTTTTATCTAAAAAATAAATATTTTCAAAGAGTTAGGTGTGGTACTGGACTCAAATTGGTGATCACATTTTTTTAATGTTCCCAATATAAGAGTATGGTATGCATTCACTTGTTTTCCTATAGTAATTGGTTGAGGGACACTGATCTCTTTAATTCCTTACATCCTTTGGCATGTAAGAAGAAAGCAGTTGTGTTTTTGTCCCTATACTGCATAGTGGTGGTATGTGAGTCAATATTTTAATTTAAAGATAGAAACTTAGCCTAAGATAGATGTAAAAGAGAACTTGACCAGTGAAAAAAAATTATCTTCTGGTTTTCTGTACCCGGATTTTATCCTTCTTGCTTAATGATTCTAGGAAATTATTTTCCACTCTTAACAATTTCTATTTAACAGCAGAGTTATGTTAAATCATGCTGGAACCTCATTCATGTTTTTAATATACATTAAAAGTACATTATGCCTTATAGTGCATTTAGGACCCAAGAAGAGTGCATACAAGTTCTAATATACTTAGTAAAATAATAAATATTTGTTTATGAACTAAGCTGGAAGTATATTTTTAAAAATCTTTACATGTTCCTCTTGTGTGCAATATTTAGTGGAGGTCATGACCTATGTGACATGGAAGCTGAGTGCATTTCCTGCAACTCGAGTGATTGGAACTGGATGCAATCTGGATTCACAGAGATTACAGTATATTATTACAAATGTTTTGAAGGCACAAACTTCAGGAAAACCAGTATGGGTTATTGGTGAGCAGGGAGAAGACAAAGGTAAGAAATACGTTTTTGTTAGTTCTATTGATAGCCTGTCACTAACAGCCATAATATTCAGACACATCTGGGGACTCAAGAATCATGGAGTTTAGTTGGGTTTTGTTCCACATTTGAGTACCTTCTTTATTACATGCCCTGTGTTGTTTATAGAGACCTCAAACTTGTTATTCTAACTATATTTACTCTTCCGTACATTTACAATTAGGCAAGACTCCTTAGTCAGGTTTTGTATTTCCTCAAAACTTTCTTAAAATTTAAAGCTTTCTGTATGCTTTGATGTCAAATGTTAACAGCTGTTTATGACTGGGTTAGAGGTAATTTAAAAAATTTATATTTTTCTGTGTTTCCTAATTTTATCATTATGGATATGTAGTATTTGTGTAGTTTTTATGAAAATTATTTTAATGAAATACAAAAGTATTTTAAATCTGTGTAAATCTGTGCTGGTTACCTAGAAAGTTCACTGCCGGAGTCAGGCTATAGAATAAATCTTTACAAAACCTGATAATGTAATTCAAGCAGAAATACTTTTCAGATTCAAAATGCCCCCTGAGATTAACCACTAATCAGTAGGACCCTTGATAAGGGTAGTGAACAAGAACTTGGAGCAGATGCATTCGAGTAATGGATGTTTAGGGGTTTAAACAAACCTGAGATCTGAATTTTACTTGCTACTCTATTCGAGTTCTGGTCCATGTCAATCTTTGGCTTGTCTGATTATTGCAAATCTCCCAGTTAGTTTTCTCTTTGCCCCCTAGTCTATCAAATTAATAATGATACTAGCCAAAACTTACACAGTGTTTACTGTATGCTTTCAAATATTAATTCAATCTTCCTAAATAATATTCCTCTTTTCAAAAAATTTCACTGGCTTCTTCTGACCAAACCATTAAATTCCTTTGCTTGGCATTCAAGGAGTCCCAAAATATAGCCCTGATTTTCTTTCCTAATTACAGGTATGGAGGTAGTCATGTCATTGAAGAGCTGGTAGGGACCCAAGGGATCATCAATTATACTTTGTTTTAGGGAGCCAGAAGTGGGTGCAGGATGGTAAGAGTAGAGGCTCCTGGGGAGCCTGTAGCTTTCCCAGCCAAAGAAGGACTAAAACCCAGGTCCCATGCCTTCTAGCCCCAACCCAGAGCTTCGCTTCAGCCACAGGGACCCTAGCCCACCGCATTTCCCCCCTCCATAATCCTTTCTCCCTCCCTCTCAGCGTTTTTAAACCTCATCCTTCAAGCTCTCAGTCAGGACCCCCTTAATTACACTCTGAAGTTTTTCCTGATCACATCAACTCCACAGTGATTTTTTTCATTCCTTGGAGCTTAAAGTTATTGTTAGCTACATGGTGATTAACCATTTATTGTCTCATGATGTTTATTCTTTTGTGAAACTGCTGTCTATCCTGATCCAGTTTGAATTTTGTATGTGCACCTTCTCCTTATTAAAAGTGTAAGTTATTAAGCTGTTCTTCTAGTTGAAAAAGTCATACATTCACATTGTAAAAAAATTAAATAATACAAAAAGATATACAGTGAAAAAATGTCTCTTCTATGCCAGACACCCAGTTCCCTTTCTCTCAAAGCAATCACAGTTACCTGTTTCTGGTGTAATCTTAGAGAAATGTTTTGTGAATAGACAGGTGCATGTATGAAATTTACATCATACGTTAGTTATTCTTTACCTTGCTCTATTACTTATTGCTATGACTCAAAAATGATTGCTGCATATATATGTATACATATGCATATATGTATGTATATATATGTCATTCTTTTTAACCACTGGATATACCAAAATTTATTTAACCAACCCCCCAAATAAGTGACAATTTTCAAGTGAGTTAGAACATTTCACAATATGGTTGCATTAATTTCACAAATTGTACAGAGAAAATAAAGGCTGATGTGACAATAACTAAATCTACAACACTGTGTTGGCTGCTGTTAGAGCTATTTCGATGAATAAGAACCCCGTGTTGTCTTTAGGCAGCTTAGAGACAGGTCCAAGGGAAGAAGGATGAAAGCACAAGGAAGGATGTGGTAATTCTGTCCTGAGAATGGGACAGAATGGGAACTAGAATAGAGGGCTGTAGGTACATGTGAATTGGGGTTACTAAGTATAATATGTAATATTCGACACATGTAAAAATATGTAAAATTTGACACATATAATGTATATGTATGTTTTAAAACATAATAATAGAATATACATTCATGAATCCACACTCAATTATTAAGAACATTACTGATGCCACTGAAGCTGACTATGCCCTGCCCAGCCCATCTCCCTGTCTTCTGTCTAGATACCACTGCCAGATCGTTTTTCATCCTGTCTTCTGCTTTGTTTCACAGATAAGTTATGTCTGAGGATAGGTATGCTTAGGTTGGCCTTGAAGCCAGAAATGGATTAGAGGCTCCCTCTGCTGGTTTCATGTGTAGATACGAGCTGATTATATTTTTAGGTGATACAACAATAGCAATTATTATTTTCTATTGAGTGGCTATTATGTGTATTGCATGTCTTACCCTGAGAAGGGGGTGGTGGTTTTCCTAATTAATAGATGAGAAAGATTAAAACTAATTTGCTTGCAAGGGCATCTAGTAAGGGGGAAACTGGACTTTGAACCCTGATCTGCTCCAAAGCTGTGCTTTTGCTTGCTGTGACTTAATGAGACAATTTACCTACCGCACTTAGTACAGGGTCTGGCACTGAGTCCATGCTCAGTAAGTGGTAGCTGTCACTACAGTCATCAGCAAGACGATGGTGAAAACTGACAGGACATGTAAAACTATACTCTGAAGTAAAGCAACATTATGGTTTGGAAACATAAGAATAGTAGGTGTGTAAGTAAAATTATTCTTTCCAAGTATTTCAGAGACAAATGACAACTACAGTTACATGACATACAAGACCCTTTGGATCTGTCTCCTGCTTCCTTCCCCAGCTTCATCTTCTGCCCTTCTGCCAGGCGATCTGTGCTAGTCAGATGGTCACCTTGCAGTTTCCTGAATGGCTCGTGCACTCTCATGCCTCCTTGCCTTTGCACCTGATGCTTCCTTTCCCTGAACATTCACACACTTGACTAACTCCTGCTTGCCCTTCAAGACTAGGCTTGAGTGCCACCTCTCCCAGGAAGTCTTCCTGAATTCTCCAGGTTAAGTAAGTTCATGCCTCTATTATAAACATTATCACACTATAACTGTATATTTACCTGTCTGTTCACCCCACCAAGACTGTAAGTTCCTTGGAATGGTCTCAATAAATGAATGAAATGAATGATCTTGAAATGAATGAATTTCAGATTCAGATTAATTTCATTTTCAAATGAATGAATGATCTTGACACCATCTTGTGACCAAAAGTCATTCATATTATGCCCCACCAAATCAGACAGTCAGCAAAACATGTACTTTGGAGCTTCTGTTTTCAGCTGTGATACTGAAATCACATGTGAACTGCAGATCACTCTTTCCAGTGGAGTTTTACAAATCCAAGGCTGGACCTCAGCACAGAGTGTTCGGTCGTCTGCTTTGGGCATCAACCTTATAGAAGGGGTGGGTGTTATATGTAATGGAAAAATGCTATTCCATGGTCATTTTTTATTAAAATTTGGGGCTCAGAGGGTTATTGTTCTTGAGAAGTAAAACCAGAAAGATTAGGATCGATATTAGATATAATATTTGAAAGGGCTCTTTAAACTAGGATGGATTTGCATTTAGGAAGTTTGAAGGGCTGGGCAGTAAATGAACAAAAAATGAAATAATTAAGTCCAGCTAAACTTAATTTAAAATTCTAATGAGTGTCACAAGCAAATTTGAACATTTGGACATTTGAAAGTAGTGAAACTTTCTTCCTCTTTCCAAGTGTTCTTTTCTCATGACTCAGAGAGGAAAGATTAAGAATTTGATCAGTGTGTAATATACAATGGTAGTAATACTCACAATTATTTCCAGATGTTGTGCCCTTTGTCTTTTTTTATACCTACCTTGCCCCTTTATTCATCTTTCCAAGGTATATAAAGGCTGTATTTCATTTAACATTTTCCTGCAATTTCCTATACACTGTGAATATGCTAATAATGTACCAATATTTTTCTGGAAAATAAGTCATGTACAATCCTTCTGTCCAAGTAAAACAGTTTTTAAAGTCCCTCAATCTGTCCACATTTATTTATATTTTTCAAAAAACAATTTTTGCACCCTGGCTGGTGTGGCTCGGTGGATTGAGCATGGGCTGCAAACCAGGCATCGTGGGTTCGGTTCCTGGTCGGGGCACATGCCTGGGTTGTGGGCCATGGCTCCCAGCAACCGCACATTGATGTTTCTCTCTCTCTCCTTTCCCTCTCTAGAAATGGGTAAATAAAGTCTTTTTAAAAATGTGAAATATTATGTTATGTTCTGTTAAAAAAATTTTGCTTTCTGTGTTTTTCAACTTAATTAATGTAAGTATGTCTTCCTCTTTGTTGCAAAATATAATTACGGATTGTGTGTGAGGTCAGTTCTGTATTATCTCCTGAGCATTTTTTAAAATATGTTTATTGAACATATAAACATAAATATATTTACACATGTTAAACATAAACATGTTTTAGAAGTGGGGAGAGAGAGAGAAGCAGAAACATTGATCGGTTGCCTCCTGTACACACCCCAACTGAGAGTGAACCTGCAACCTAGGTATGTGCCCTGGCTGAGAATTGAACCCTCCAACCTTTTGATGTACAGGAAGATGCTCCAACCACCTGAGCCACACTGGCAAGGGCTCTCCTGAGAATTCTTTACCATGGTAAAGAATATGTGTGAGAGGACACACGAAACGAACAAATGGTCCCTGCCCCCCAGAAGCTTACAATCAGTTGGAGGAAGGGAGGCATCTGGATACACATGCTGGTCTTTGTTACTGACACATCTCTAAATGGCCTAATTTTGAATGCAGTTTAGAGACTCGTATTTTAAACATAAGACAGTCTTATATATCTGAGTGTGTTTTTTGTCTTGCTTACTCAAATGAAGATTTGTATCAAAGAATGTCTTCACAGAGATGAGAAACAGGTGAATATTAGAAAGGTTTAAAAATGTTGACTTTCTGATCTGTCCCCTAAAGCAAGGGACATAAAGGAAAGAATAAACAAATGGGACCTCATCAAATTAGAAAGCTTCTGTGTGGCTAAAGAAAACAGCATTAAAATCAAAAGAGAACCAACTATATGGGAAAACATATTTGCCAATGATACGTTGGACAAAGGTTTGATCTCCAAAATACATAAAGAACTCACACAACACCACTCTAAGAAGACAAACAACCCAATTAAAAATGGTCAAAAGACTTGAACAGACACTTCTATAAGGAGGACATACAGAGGGCCCAGAGACATAGGAAAGCATGCTCAGCATCACTAACTGTCAGAGAGATGCAAATTAAAACCACAATGAGATACCACTTTATACCCATCAGAATGGCCATCGTAAACAAATCAACAAACAAGTGCTGGAGAGGTTGTGGAGAAAAGGGAACCCTAGTGCACTGTTGGTGGGAGTGCAGACTGATGCAGCCACTGTGGAAAACAGTATGGAATTTCCTCCGAAAACTAAAAATGGAACTGCCATTTGACCCCGCAATTCCACTGCTGGGATTATATCCTAAGAGCGCTGAAACACCAATCCAAAAGAACCTATGCACCCCAATGTTTATAGCAGCACAATTTACAGTAGCCATGTGCTGGAAGCAACCTAAGTGCCCATCAGTAAATGAGTGGATCAAAAAACTGTGGTACATTTACACAATGGAATTCTACACAGCAGAAAGAAAGAAGGAGCTCCTACCCTTCGCGACAGCATGGATGGAACTGGAGAGCATTATACTAAGTGAAATAAGCCAGACAGTGAGGGACAAATACCATATGATCTCACCTTTAACTGGAACATAATCAACAAAAGAAAAAAGCAAACAAAATATAACCAGAGACATTGAAATTTAGCACAATAGCCGGAGGAAGAGGAGAGGGGACATGGGGGGAAGGGTTTTCAGGAACTACTACAAAGGACACATGGACAAAACTAAGGGGGAGGGTGGCAGCAAGGGAGGGAGGGAGGTTTGGCTGAGGTTGGGGGGAATGATGGGGGGTAAATGCAGACAACTGTAATTGAACAACAATAAAATAATTTAAAAAAAAACTAAGAACTAAATAAATGACTTTATACAACTGTAAAAAAATAAATTTAACTTCATTTGAAAAAATAAAAATGTTGATTTTCAATTCAATATTAAAATGTCATATAAATGTTGAGTTCACATGCTCAGCTTTGAATTTTCGATTGTTTTTATAAGTGTAGTAGAGGAAATGGGTAATACCAAAGATGCTCTCGGCAAACAGGACCTCGCCCGTCTTAACCACTGTGGAAATCTAGCCCAAAGTAGGTGACCAAATTACTCCTCACCTAGTGAAAGACATTAGTCTGTGTGGTTCCCAGCTGAACAAATGTCACATGTTTGCAGTACTTGAGGTCTGATTATTCACAGCCTGCTAAGGAAAGAAAGCTTTCTACGTTCAAATGGCCCTGGTAGAACTATTGTTAATGAGAGGGGACAGATGAGTGGGCTGCAAGTAGACTTTGGGGATCATATGTTTTGGGGATCCCTGCTCAAAGTCTTTCCTACCGCACACAGTCAATATAACACACCAGTATCATCAGTGGAAAATGTAGCCATTGCTGGAAGGGGTTACCCTTGACTTCACACAATCATTTATCACATCTTAATCCTGTGAGAGTTAATGACAAAATATAATTAATTTTTCTTTTACTTCCAGTGACCAAATGGGGTGGCCAAGAAGAAGTGATGAGTCATAACGCTCAGGTGCAGCTGTCCGACAGGTAACACTGAGTGGAACTGTACGATTCTCCAACTAACACTCATGGCCCTCATTGCTAACACAAGAGCTGTTCACACAGCATGTGCTTACGAGGCTCCTGTGGACAGAACTAGCTAGTACGGACAAATCCGAAAGTACAAGTGAGCAGTGTTTTCTGTTCTTTGAGTTCGTATCTGAAAGTGGATCCAAGAGTGCTTTGCAAACTCTGTTTAAGATACACAGTTGGCACTTAAAGGGCCGAACAGGATCCTGATTTGTAGGCAGAGATTTGCTGCTTCTATATCTAAACATCTGAGGATATTGAAACTTTTCTGAAATGTAGAAGAGAATTTCTGCATGCCACTTAAAAATGAATATGTATTTATTAACTACTCATAAATACATTTAGAAATTAGTCTAACATGAATGGATAAGCCATATTATAAGTTCAGGCAAAAACAAAGTGTGATGCGCAAATCCTTGTATCTCGTGCTTTATTCAGAGGCCTTCCAGGGCTCTGCAGGTTGGGCTCTTGTATATTTTCATGCCATTTTTTATTTCACCATCACATAATGACATGCTTTCCTGCAGTCTAAGTGGTGGAGATTTTTAGCTTTTTAAACCTTCAGCGTATGGCCCTGACTGGTGTGGCTCAGTAGGTTGGACATTGTCCCACAGACTCAAAGGTCACCAGTTCATTTCCAGGTGGGGCACATGCCTGGGTTGCTGGCCAGGTCCCTGGTTGGGAGGATGTGAGAGGCAAAACCAATCAATGTTTCTGATCAATGATTCTCTTGTACATTGGTGTTTCTCTCTCTCGTTCTCCTTCCCATCCCTTCACTCACTCACTCACTCACTCACTCACTCACTCAATAAATAAATAAATAAATCCTTTCCCAAAAGAACCCTTCGGCTTATGGTTTTCAGAATATAACAACTGGAAAGAATATTCTTTGATTGAGAAGAATAGTATGTTGTATAATCCATTCTAACCCAATTCTTTATATATTCTTTACAGCTTTTAAAAGGAAGAAATTCAAACATGATTTTTAAATTTATATCATTTTTATTAGTTACAAAAGAATGTATACTATTATAAAACTCTACTGTAGATATCTATAAAATAGTGAAAAGCTGGGATAATTCCATTCTCTAGAAGCTATCACTTTTAACAGTTTAAATGCCCACATGTTCAAATATTTTTTCAATGCTTCTATAAACATAGTTTTTAAAATTATTTTTATAATAGATTTATGCCATTTATATTATCCTGTAACTTGATTTGTTTCCTTAGTAATAAATCTTGGACATTTTTTCCATATTGTACATATAAACCTACTTTATCCTTCCCAAGAGCTACATGGTACTGCATTTGGTAGTTATTTATTTAACCAGTCACTTTTTAAAAAAGAATTCATTTAGTATTTATTTTTAGAGAGAAGGGAAGGGAGGGAGAAAGAGGGAGAAAGGCATCGATGGGTGAGAAAAGCACCGATATGTCACCTTTCGCACGCCTCCAACCAGCCACCTGACCGCAACCCAGGCCTGTGTCCTGACTGGGAACCCAAACGGCGACTGTTGGCTCTACAGGATGACTCCCAACCCGCTGAGCCAAGCCGGGCAGAGCTAACCAGTCACTTCTGATGAACTGTTTCCAGAATTCTTTCTGTCTGAAGCAAGGCAAACCTACTTTTTTTTTTTTTTTAATCTTTGCACACTTGAGCATATGGCTGTAGGACAGATTCCTGGAAGGGGAATTCCTAGGTCAGGTGTTGCCGAATCTTTCTCCTAAAAGGTAACTCTCACCAGCAGTTATGAGAATGCCTGTTTCTTTGTAGCTTCTCTAAAAGTAGTGACCAATTTTTAACATATTTGCCAATTTTGATAGGCAAAACTGGTGTATATTGTTTTAACTCATATCTAGTTAAATAGTAGTGGTGGTGGTGAGCATCTTTTTATGTTACTAAGCCATTTGTATTTCCCTCTGTGAACTGCCTGTTTGACATTTTAAGAGAAACCTTAATCATTAGTTTATCTGTAGGTTTTCCTAACAATTACTCTATAGCTCTTATTTCTGCATTATAAAAATATGTAATTAATACCTTAACTAGAAGGTAAAACTAAGTGTGTATTTTGTTCATTTTCTGAGGTCTTTTGTTTTTTGTTGTTTTGTAACCTAGAGCCATGGAATTATTGAGGGGAAAAGGTCAAAGGTCCTGGTCTGTTGGACTATCAGTAGCTGACCTGGTTGACAGTCTTATAAATGATAAAAAGAAAGTGCATTCTGTATCAGTCTTAGCAAAGGTAATTCCTATTCTCATTCTCTCATATTTTTACATTTTTATTACTAGTATAAAACCAGAAAAGGTTCTATTTACACTATAACCAAGTGTCTTCAATATCACCAGCTTTTAGAGTAACATCGGGGAGGAGACAGTTCAGTCTAAGCCCTATCCCACTTGGCTGTGGGAATTCTGGACTCCTGTCGTGTTTCTCCTCCCTGCATGTAATTCTAGGGAATCCCCAAGAAGCATTCGCGTATTCCATAAACAGCTCGCGGTTGTCATTTACCACCTCCGCCAGCCAGGTCACCGCAGACCGCACTGGTCATCAGTCTGCACTCTCCAGTTCAGGGTGTCCTTACCACTTCCTCCCAAGCATGAAGTCCCTAAAGCACAGCTAAGACCAGGCACAAATGCTTAACCAAATGTTCTGGAAAACTTAGGAATACCAGGAGAAATAAAACATGGAAAGGAAAGTGTAAAACAGATTACTGTATTTGACTGCACCCAGGGCCCAGTCGGTGCCCCTCCGTGGGAATCTGCTCTGACAGCTCAGCCCCCACCCTGCTCCCCATAACTCGGGGAGCTACCTCCCTTCTCACGGAGGGCAGTCTCTGACCAAGTCCCTCCTGTCTCACAAACAATTTCTGAAACAATAGCTTGAGTTCAGAAAATAAATGAACAATTTTTTTAAGAAGTTCAACTGTATCACTTGGTACTAGGGCTATAAAAGCAAGAAAGTAACCATATTTATGATAGTAACTTCTTTGCAGTGATTCAGCTGTATCATAATCTAATTTTATTCATTTCAGGGATATTACGATATAAATAGTGAAGTATTTTTAAGTTTGCCTTGCATCCTGGGAACCAGTGGGGTATGTGAAGTCATCAGAAGCGCAGGGAAAGAAGACGGAGTGACTGAGAAGCTCCAAGGCAGCGCATCTTCGCTCCACGATCTCCAGCAGCAGCTAAAGCTCTGAGCCTCAAGTTCAGAGTTACCTGAAAGGAAAGGTCATTTAGTTTTGCCAACACATATAGGGCTGAGAACTTCTGTATCTTATTACTTATTTTTACAAACTGCTTGGTCAAGGTAGGTGGTTTCTTGGTTAGTTTTGTAATTTGAATTCTTAGGGAGTTAGATAAGGAGGGAGGAAAATCCAGTTTTCTTTGTTGTTCCTGGGATATCTGTGTCGTTCTTTCAACCTGGAGCAGAGATAAACACTACCTGCAGTTACATCATGTAAAACTCTGTATCCTCAACTAAAGGCACGTTCAGCACTTTGGGAATATTTTGAAAGTAATACATTTTTAGAAGACAGTTACTCCTTGACAGTTACAGTAAACATGATGAGCTGAAGGCCCATTGTGGATTTAGGAAATTTGTGCTAGGTGTGCATTCAAAGGATCCACAGTTTAAGGTATTGTTTCTTCCTTAAAATACAGTCGGCAGTAATGGTAGTAAAGCATTTTGTTTTCCCTTTTTGATTAATTAGCTACCAAAATATGGAAAAGAATTTACATGAATTTAAAATAATAAAGGGGAAAATGAAAAATTTTTAAATATATGAAGACAAAGTATAGTTTAACTTCCAGTGGGACTGTCTTCCTTGAAATTTTCTATAATCTCTTTCTGGGCTATATCAGATCTCTAATATATCATAAACTCACTGTAATATTAGTAGAATCATAGAGAAATGTGCATTTTGATGGTGAACAAGAGCCAAGCAGTATACTTTAAAGCTGAAGTATAAGGGGGAGAGGCTGGATGGACTGATTATTCTGAGCAGATCCTTCAGTGACTCCCAAAGAAATGATCGAAGTCCATCCACTTTGATGCTGGGTGGACAGCAGTATGTTCACATGCAAAAGATAGCCTATTATCACTAAGGTGGCATGCAACTAACAGTGACAGCTAACACCAGCACTTCTTATATTTCAGGCAGTGTGATGAGCACTTTATTATTTTACTGAATCTTCAACAGTAGTCCATCGAGGTAGGGACCATTATCATTATCATTTTGTAGAGCAGGGAATTGAGCTTTAGTGACCAAGATCTTATGGTTAAAGGGCACTTATCCACATAACTTCTACTTTTTCTAAGTACTAGATGAGGGAAAAGGTCTAAGAGCAAAAATAGTCACCATCAGAGTAAAGCTGGGGTTCTGTACTCTTCCATTCTCGAGTAGGAGCTGACTTTTTTTCCAACATAGTTTTTAGAAAGATTAATTCCCCGACTTCCCAGACTTTCCCTCAGCAAGTCGCAGAGAGGGGTATGCACCAAGGTAGGTGTGTATTTATTTGGTCACTCAGGTAGTATTGACTGCCAGCCAACTGTGCAGTAGGCACTGCATTTTTAGATACTGCAGATATAGTGGTGAGCAAACCTGGACTAAGTACAAGCCCTATGTTCCTTATAATGTAGTATGGAAGACATACTAATCAGATCTCACAAATAAATGTGCAATTGAAAATGTAGAAAGTACTGTGAAGAAGTCCAGGCACTTTGAAAGCATATCATAAGTGAATCCATACCTGGTCAGAGAGGTAGGAACCTAGGCAGAGAGGAATCAGTCAGACTAAGGTTAATTTAGTATAATAACAGATGCTTGTAATGATGAGTGTAAATCATTCAGGAAAGGTGAAATTATATTGTGTCCTATGTTTTAGAAAGTATGAAAGGCCCTGGCTGGTGTAGCTCAGTGGATTGAGCATGGTCTGCCAACCAGAGGGTTGCAGGTTCGATTCCCAGTCAGGGCACATGCCTGGGTTGTAGGACAGGTCCCCAGTAGGGGACATATGAAAGGCAACCACACATTGATGTTTCTCTCCCTCTCTCCCTCCCTTCCTCTCTCTCTAAAAATAAATAAATCTAAAAAAAAAAAGTAGGAAAGTATTTCATATGCTTGGAAGGATTCCCATCAGAATTAACTAGTATAAAAACCTTAGACACTTGAAGAAATGAGCATTACTTCTGTGTAAGTTCACTAAATGGAAAGATTATTTCCGTATTACTCTAAAAATGTATCCTCATTGCCCATTTGCATGATGTAGGAAAGTAAAACTGAAAGAACAATTCTTGTTTTTTGGAAACACAACTAGCCTTTTTTAATATCAGATATCTAATAAGAAATTAGATAATTTCTATTAATATGCTCTTAAACAATAACCTGACTACAAGACATTGTATTATAGATGAATTGCCAAGAATTCGCTACATTAATTATAAAAAGAAACATGTCAGTACAACAAATACTTACTGAACATCTGTTATTTAAAGTACTGTGTTAGAATCTGAGTATTCAAGGAGGAGTAACAGCTCTTGCCCTACAGAAGCCCACGATATAGAAGTAATTCTATCAAATAGTTCCTTGTATCAGATAGTTCCTGGTATCAGATAGCTCCTCAAGTGTTGAATATTATCAATCATGTTGTCTACATTCCATATAAAAGTCAAGAAGCAGTACCACCACCACCTCACTATGATTTGGTGATAATTGACATTCATGATGCTGCTATTAAATTTCACTTTTTTATTTTTCCCAAGATCATGTAATGTCCCTTGTTACGATTTTTAGTGAAGCTTGAATTAAAGTGATTCTTTGATATTGTAGCAGAAATAAATATTTTATTTTTCCAGTTTTACATTGTAAAAACAGTGAATAAAATAAACATTGACTTTAAAATCACCAGGAGATTCCTAATTTATTGAGTGGAAGGAAATTTATTCAGATTGAGGAGGAAGATTCTTTCATATAATTCTGTGGTTCCCAAGATATTTAGTTTTTTTGTTTTAAGTATCTTTAATGCAAAATGAAGAGACTGGATTTTGTTCTCAAACTTTAAAAAGATTATTTTTTAGCAAGAAAACTTTAAAAACAATATATTACCTGCACTCCCTCAATTGATAAAAGCAAGGTTGCTCCAAGTGAAGGTACTCCTGAGTAAGCTGTGGCCCTCAGAACGATTTGAAAACCACATTGGAGACAATTGTACTTAACAACAATAAAAAAAAGTTGAAAGAAAAGAAAACCACATTGCTTTTAAAGACATAAAAGAGATACAGTGGCAAGATAGACTGCCATGCAGTTTTGTTTGACTGGAGCTGTGTGCTTTACTAACATGTCTGTATCCAAAAAAATTATACCTGTTGGAATAATTTTTATTGTTGGCGTGTGCGTGCAACAATTTGTAATAATGCTTCCATGTGGTTTCAGTTATGCCCTCTTGTCTATGTGACCTTCACTGAAGTGCCAGTTTAGAAGGGAATTAATACTACAGCCTGTTCCTCATTAGCACTAGGCTAAAATCACCCAAATTACCGTACATCATCAAAACCAAGGTTTACAGCACCTTTAATGACATTGTACTTAAAACAGGTGGTGATGTGCAATGACCAACATGACTAGTTCTTCATAAATGACTATGAAGAACTCTTATTGGTGGTAGAAATTCAATTAGGATCAAGTTCTCTTGTGCTGCACAAGGCAATGAGCATCTGAAGATGAGCCTGCCCTCAAAGAGTTAGACTTGGACACAAATATAGTGCGAGGTAGAATGCAGCCTGTGTCATCACTTATGCCTGGGTACAGAGCGGAAGCTCTGACTCAGGGGGAAGGTTTCCTGGAGAAGAAATGACTGTCTGCTTTCTGTGAAATCAGTGCTCTGCACTTTTTCCTCGTTAACGTAGTATTAAGAACTTTTAAGCTTCAAACAAAAGCCCTGATAATCAGAGAGACCCTGGGCATCATCTCATGCTAGCCTCTCATCTTAGAATTGTTAAAAACTACAGCCAGAGCTAAACGTGCACCTGCCTGCTAATATCACAAGGGCTAAGTCAGTGGCAGTTTCCTGACTCCCAGTCCAGTGCCCTCCCGTTTGATGAATCATTCAAGCTCATTGGCAAGACCTTCTCAGTACATTTCCTCTCCCCGCATCTGCTCCCCTAGTCAAAGAGCAACTGTGAACACCTAACGATCTTGTCCCAGCCCAGCGTCTCCACCGTCGGAACGCACCGCCCTCATCACTGGGACCCGACCACACCAGAACATCGGGTGGGTGGGAACCAACCCCGCTTCAGGGATTACCTCGGAAGTGACGTAAAGGAAGCGGAATGTGTGTCGTGGCGGCCGACTTCCTGTTGTTAGAGGCGGGGGGGTGGGGGGCTGGCGACTCAGTGAGCTGCTGTGTGGGGCGGCCTGGGGCAGCCCCGGAGCGGCTGACCCCCCTGCCTACGGGGACAGAAGCCGCAAGGTGGCCGCCATGGCGGTGTCGGAGAGCCAGCTCAAGAAAATGGTGTCCAAGGTGAGGGCGCGACGCGTTCGCCACCCGGCCCGCCCACCGCCCCTTTCCCTGCCCGGACGGGCCGGGCCCGATCCAGTCCTACGAGCCTCCCCGGCGGGCCGGGAACCCCAGTGTGGTCCTCAGGTGCCTTTGCGCCCCCTAGCCCCCGGATCCTTGTCGCCTAGTGCCAGAACCCCAATACAGGTCCCGGGAAGGTCGGGGGCGGCGACAGTCAACAAAGGCACGGTGCTGAGGCCGTCCGCCACCTGCCGCCAGCCCTACTCTCTCCCGGTTGAGTTTGGAGCAGTCTGTGGGGCAATATAGTTTTCGGTTTCGTTTTCATTTTTATGAACACAAAGGGAAGGTCGTACTTAATTCTCGATTGGGGGCAGACCTCCACGCTAGAAGGGATCCGCCAGTCTTCGTCCTTCCCTCCCGGGCCCCCAGAGATTGTGTCTTTTTCAGTTTTGTATTCCTCACACAGCTCAATGCCTGACCCGCGGGAGATGAGTAACTGTTGGTTGAATAGGCTCGATTTTAAATAAAAGACGTCCAGAGAATCCAAAATACCAATACCGCACCACCTCGGGTAAAATAAATAGAATTGCGTTACCATTTCAGGGACTTTGATTTGCTAAGAGTAACTATTTTTTTAATTTCACTTTTTCAATTACAGTTGACATTCCGTATTGTTTTCTGTTAGCTTCAGGTGCACAGCATAGTGGTTAGACAATTATACAGAGTCATTACAATATTATTGACTGTGTTCTCTATGCCATACATCCCTGTGACTATTCTGTGATTACCCATTTGTGTTTTTTCATCCTTTCCCCTTGTTCACCCAGCCCCCCAACTCCCCTCACCTCTCATAACCATCAGCCTGTTCTCTGTATCCATGAGTCTGTTTACATTTTGTTTGTTCATTTATTTTGTTCTTTAGATTCCACATGAAAATGAAATCATATAGTATTTGTCTTTCTCTGACTTATTTCTCCTAGCATAATACCCTCTAGGTCTATCCATGTTGTCACGAATGGTATGGTTCCGTTCTTTTTAATGGCCAGGTAATATTCCATCACATATATGCGCCACCTCTTTTATCCATTCATCTACTGATGGGCCCTTGGGCTGCTTCCATATCTTGGATATTGTGGATAATGCTGCAGTGAACATAGGGGTGCTTATGTTTTTTCAAATTAGTGTCTTGGGTTTGTTCAGATACATACCCAGTAGTGGAACTGCTGGATCATAAGGCAGTTCCATTTTTTAATTTTTGAGGGACCTCCAGTTTTCCACAGTGGCTGCACTGGTCTGCATTCCTACCAGTAGTGCCGAGGCTTCCCCTTCCCTCCATGTCCTTGCAGACACTTGTCATTTGTGCATTTATTGATGATAGCCATACTGTCAGGCATGAGGTGATATCTCATTGTGGTTTTAATTTGCATTTCTCTGATGATTAGAGACATTGAGCATCTTTTCATGTCTATTAGCTGTAAGAATAACTGTCCTTGATTGTATGCTTCATATAATGTGAATTTGTTTGCTTCGAACTTAATTTATAATCTTCGTAGTTTGGGACTGGTGTATTTTTTTCATTTTTAAAAAACAGGTAGATATTTTGTCTGTTAAAGCTGTGAATTGTTTTGATAATTACTTCAAATGTGGCACTTGATACCAGAGTGAACTGGGTGGGTTTTTCTCCCCACTGAGTTTACCAGGCCTAATCAGAGTAAGATACATGTTAAGTCTTCGAGAATTGGATCTCCTGTGGTTCACTGGGTCAGCTTTGGATGTTTGTCAAAGCAAGAATAATAGAAACTGAAGTAATGTGAACACTTCAATGTTAATAAAACACACTATTATGTATAAACTTGTTTCTTTGAAAAAAATTTTCTAGTCCATAGTCTTTGATTAAAAAGAATATAACCTCTAGAGAAAGGGACAGCTTTCAAATACTGCTTCTCTTGGTTGTCTAGTATCTTCTAGGCTTTTTGATTTTCTCTTGATAAAGTAGTTATCCTTAATTGTAGATAAAGTTTTGGGGAGCCCTGGAGGATTGTGGCCCAGATCTATGTTATAACATTTATATACATACATCACTTTTTAAAAAAACAGTGTATTGTTTCACAAACTGTGTGACTGAAGAGTATCTGTCCATGCCATTTCTGATCTTTAAATTGAGAGCATAGTATTAAGTATTTATGTATAAAGATAAGAATATTCAAATATTGGTTTTGAATACTTTTCTTTAGATTTTATTTATTTATTTTTTGAGAGAGGGGAAGGGAGGGAGACAGAGAGGGAGGGGGACATCAATGTGGGAGAGACACATCGATCGGTTCCCTCTCTCAAGCCCCCAACGAGGGAACCTGGTCCGCAACCCAGGCATGTACCCTGACTGGGCATTGAACCAGTGACTTTTCAGTTCACAGGCCAGTGCTCAATCTGCTGAGCCACACCAGCCAGGGGCAAATACTGGTTTTGATTTTTAAAAACCATAATTAAGATTCCCAGGCTTCTTGTAGAGGAAGTTGTCTTTCTCTCTCTTCAACTTCTTTTGATGCCAAGAGCGAAAAGGATGTAGGGAAGAGGTGGGACAGAGCATTCTTACCCATCTTTTGGTTCTTGGACCAACATCTGAAAACTAAGCCTCCTACAAGTGATGATGTCAGTTCTGAGTATCAGCATCTTTTCTCTCCAGCCTGTAAATATCCAGCCATTAGAAGCAATATATGAAATTTTGTCCTCCTGGTGGAGGGTTAGCTTTAGCTGTTATTCTTTCAGTTGGGTGTGGTTCAGTGTAGGGATTGCTGGCCTGGACCACAGACACATTCCTAGGGTGATGGTCCTTTATTCTTGGTTGTGGGACCGCCACGCCCATCCTGGCACTTTGGGCCACCTGCCTTGACTTGCGTCTTGTTTTTTTTGTTTGTTTGTCATGTTATTTTATTTTATTTTATTTTATTTTATGGCATAAGTGACATATAACATTATATTTTTACATATTATTACAGATCATTTTTTTCCTTTGAACATTGTCTTAGTTGCCAACTTAAATATAACTTTTTGGTTAACGTCCTTCTCTATCATAAGTCCATCTTTAAAAAAATAACTTTCTACTTTCAATTTTTCATAGAGGCAGTTATCTCTTCTGACGTAGTGTATCTACAGCGTTGCTAGAGGTGAAGTCAGTACTGCGTAGGTAAAAGAGAGCTGACGTTAAAGATTGCTGTGTGCCTCACACTGCTTGAGATTTTAGGGATACAGAAGGGTACAGGCGAAACAACTACACTTTTGGAATTTGAATTCTCATAAGAGACAATAAGGAACTCAATAAATACATGAAGTAGTATGTTGGATGGCGATACGCGCTTTGGAGAAAAGTAAAGCAGGGGAGGGAA